AGGTCGTAAACCCTAAACCCAAGACCCTGATGGATGCTACACTAGGAGGCCCAGTAACCTAGGAATAAAGAGGGTTCCCTTTTTTGTATTGGGTAACAGTAAAGGGAGCCTAGGACTACAAAAAGGGAATAAGGGTACTCCTTCCATTTAGGGCTTAGGGTTTATAGTGTTAAAGGTGTTTTGGGGGGGAGTTCCAGCATGAATCATCCAGAACCTATGTTCCAACTTTCTGGGTTTCACTCTAAGCCCCTCCCTTTGCGTCGCAGCGGCCTAGGATTGAGGCCAGGTTTCCGAATGACTGGGCTTTGAAGCAAATAGGGAAAAGTACAAACTTTCCTGTTAATGGTTCCTCCAAGGACCAGGCCCAAAAAGACATCATAAAGTAGAGTACTCCAGAATCCAGCCAATGACCCCATAGAAAACAGGAGTACCCTTTGTCCTACTACCTGACCAGGATTAGGAAATACGCCGTCAATGATAGGACCAAGCTTCACCAAGAAAGCCATAGACAACCCCATATAGAACCCATCATAAAACCCCTTCTAACTCCTATGAACCCACAAAGTTAATACAAGGGCCTGAGATCCTATCTAAGTCCCAAAGACTGAAAAAACCCTAAACTCCCCAAGCCCGCTTAAGGGTAAACGTTGACAGGAACTGGGCCGCCCCGCATGTTGCAGGTGACAAAGGAGTAAACCGCACCGCGGCTCTGATTCAGAGCCTTTGTAAGCACGGCTTAGGGCTTTCGGATTTTAGGGCTTAAGGTGTAGAGTTGGGGCTTAGGGCTTCAGGTTTAGTGTTTCGGGCTTGGAGATTGGATTATCATGAAGACTCATTAACCCTAAACACTGCGTGCACACAGTGGGACTACTTGGAGGTTCGGGGGTAGTTATAAGTAGAGTTATAAGTCCCCTAATATGGGTTATAAGTATAGTTACCCTACTTATAACCCTACTTATAACTACCCTAAACCCTAAACCCTATATTAGAACCGTTAAAGGAACCCTAAACCCCCTTATTCTATCCCTACTTCTAACTACACATGAACCTCCAACTAGGTCCCTAAACCCTATGCCCTTACAGAATCCCTATAGATCCCTTTAAAGGGACCCTTAAAGAAGCCCTACTTAGATACCCATAAACCTCCAACTAGGTCCCTAAACCCTAAATCCTTATCGCTGCAAGGCGATGCGGACTGCCTCTGGCGGTCTGGACACGTGAACTTTTTTGCACACCTCGTGCAATGCATGACGCCACAGTGCGGGCACTACCACGCTTTACTGCGGCGTTCGCCCGTGAATTGGCCCTCTGCGCCATGCGCCGGGACGGTTGACGCCCCCACTGCTGGCTGATATTCGTGGTGCGCCCCGCATGCGCTGCACACGAACTCGGAGGAGGGGTCTGACCAAATGTTCATCTGCGTTTCGCAGACGGAGCAGGCGAAAACGCTCTGCAACTAAAGCCCAGAAATCGCTTTGGGGGGGCTCAAACGCACATGAAAAACAGACCTGAAAATGGAAGGGGCTGCGTCCCTCCTTTTATAGAATCCCTATAGATCCCTTTAAAGGGACCCTTAAAGGAGCCCTACTTATAACTACCCATGAACCTCCAACTAGGTCCCTAAACCCTATACCCTTATAGAATCCCTATAGATCCCTTTAAAGGGACCCTTAAAGGAGCCCTACTTATAACTACCCATGAACCTCCAACTAGGTCCCTAAACCCTATACCCTTATAGAATCCCTATAGATCCCTTTAAAGGGACCCTTAAAGGAGCCCTACTTATAACTACCCATGAACCTCCAACTAGGTCCCTAAACCCTATACCCTTATAGAATCCCTATAGATCCCTTTAAAAGGGACCCTTAAAGGAGCCCTACTTATAACTACCCATGAACCTCCAACTAGGTCCCTAAACCCTATACCCTTATAGAATCCCTATAGATCCCTTTAAAAGGGACCCTTAAAGGAGCCCTACTGATAACTACCCATGAACCTCCAACTAAGTCCCTGAACCCTACACCCTTATAGAAAACCTATAGATCCCTTTAAAGGGACCCTTGAAGGAGCCCTACTTATAACTACCCATGAACCTCCAACAAAGTCCCTATAAAGCCTGTACCCTTATAGAATCCCTATAGATCCCTTTAAAGGGACCCTTAAAGGAGCCCTACTGAGAACTACCCAGGAACCTCCAAGTAGACCCTAAACCCTATACCTTTATAGAATCCCTTTAAAGGGACCCTTAAAGGAGCCCTACGTATAACTACCCATGAACCTCCAAGTAGACCTAAACCCTATACCCTTATAGAATCCCCTTAAAGGGACCCTTAAAGGAGCCCTACTGATAACTACCCATGAACCTCCAACTAAGTCCCTGAACCCTACACCCTTATAGAATCCCTATAGATCCCTTTAAAGGGACCCTTAAAGGAGCCCTACTTATATATAACTACCCATGAACCTCCAAGTAGTCCCTAAACCCTATACCCTTATAGAATCCCTTTAAAGGGACCCTTAAAGGAGCCCTACTTCTAACTACCCATGAACCTCCAACTAGGTCCCTAAACCCTATACCTTTATAGAATCCCTTTAAAGGGACCCTTAAAGGAGCCCTACTTTTAACTACCCATGAACCTCCAAGTAGACCCTAAACCCTATACCCTTATAGAATCCCTTTAAAGGGACCCTTAAAGGAGCCCTACTTATAACTACCCATGAACCTCCAACTAGGTCCCTAAACCCTATTACCTTCTAGTATCCCTATAGATCCCTTTAAAGGGCTTCTAGAATCCTTATAGACCCCTTTATAACCACCCATGAACCTCCAAGTACTCCAAATCGCTCCGAGCCCGGGACGGAGATCGGATCGTAAGGAGCCTGGCCGCTGGCTCAGGACTTTGTGTATAAAAGGAGGGATCCTTTAAAGGGATCTATAGGGATTCTATAAGGGTATAGGGTTCAGGGTTTAAGGGGTTAGGGTTTTAGGCTTTTAGGGTTTAGGGTTTAGGGCTTAGGGTCTAGGATTTAGGGTTTAGGGTTTAAGGGTTTAAATTAATCAAAGGGGAAAAGGAGGGACCTTTATTGGGGACCCCTACCACATATTTGGCTATATAATGGGCATATAATAGCTATATTAAGGGAATATACCTAGGACACTGGCTCAGGACTTTGGGTATAAGGTTGAGCTTTTCGGGTTTAGGGTTTGTTTCGGCTGCAGGTTTTTGGGGTAAGAAGAAATCATGCTCTCACACGGCTGAACTCCAGGTCATAAGCCCAAAGCTCTTGACGAAATTATTTTCGGACCCTCACCCTGGAACTGAAGCTGTCGTAAGCCAGAAAGCAATGGAATCTGCATGGGATTTTACATGCGTATACGCACATAGTTATACGTCTGTGTATTATGCGTATAATGCAAAACAACATATGAACATATGATAGACCAGAACTAAGAGTAACAAGAGTGTATGTATAAGTGTATGTATGTATGTAACAATACGGACATGCGTGTTCAGCTGTCTGCTTTATCTAATTGCTTGCTTCTTGCTTACTGCTTGAGTGGTATCTGTTCAGAACGTACTTCGTACCAGCGCAACGAAACGTAGTCGGAGGCTTTTGTCGGTTCCTATGCTTACTACGTGGTATTTAAACCAAAGCAGATATATACATATATACATATATATATATATGCCTATTAATGTCTGTCGCTAGGATGGTATATAGTGAGCATATGCAGGGTTTCAAGCTTTGTTCGGTTCCTATGCTTACTGTGTGCTAAAGACTCAGGCAAATATGCTGCACCAAAACCTCAAGCCCGAAACCATCCTAGAACCTACGTACACTTGCATGTGCCCTGAGATCTCAAGGCCCGGCAGGTGTTTCAGCTATGATTGGTACTACCAATACTCTTGTCTTGTTGTTACTCCTATATGCTCTTCTTATCATTATTAGTCTTGTTGCTCATACTTCTGATCTTATTAGCAATGTAGTTCTTGTATGTGTATAAACCTATGTGTTTATATAGTTGCTTACTTTTGACTTTGGGGTGGCATATCGCCAGCATCAGATCTTCTTGAACATTCACCCCAAACCCTTCAGCCGACTCTGCATGCCTCGGCGTCATGTCCGCTCAGGTGGTAGGCGAGCGCAGTGTCCTGTGGAGGCTGGTGTTCTCCGTTTGGGGGCTCAGGGCTTGGGGGGTGATGGATTGAAGTGTTAGGGTCTGGGGTTTAGGTCTTCAGGGTTTATGTGTGTTCCGTTTGGGGCTTTACGGATTGGGGCTCAGGGTCATTTTTTCGGTTCTGGGGTTTAGAATTTGCGTTTTTGGAAAGCGTGTTCAGTTAACGGGTTTGGGATTCACGGGCTCGAGTCTGCTCCGTTCGAATTTACTTCGGCTACCACAAGGCCAATTGTTTCCCAGAGAACCCTGGAGGATCGAAAAGCAGATCCCCGAATTTGACATAGTACTATGTAAAAAGTACTTAGAAGCCCAGGGGACTTAGTAAGCAGGTCATAAGTAGGGCTATAAGTACCCTAAATGGACCTACCCCAATTAACACCCTACTTACTAAGTCCCCTGGGCCTTCAAGTAAGCCTTCCGCACCGAAGGCCCGCAGGGAAGGATATTGCTTGGACCCCGCACGACTAGCAGGGCATCCCGAGTTCAGGATACAGCTTCCGGTTCTTATACGACCTAAACCCTAAACCCTGAACCCTAAACCTAAAAACCTAACCCTAGGGATCAAAATAGCCCAAAAGCCTTATATAGTGTGGTCTTTGGGCCCAAAAGCCTTAACATATGAGTCCTTCGAGCCCTAGGGTAAGCCCTGAACTTTACCTAAAACCCTAAACCCTAAACCCCTAAACACTGAACCCTAAACCCTAAAAACCCTATAAGCCCTAAACCCTAAACCCCTAAACCCCTAAACCCTAAAACCCCGAAGGCCCTAAACCCTACAAACCTCTAAACCAGGCCCTGAACCGAGCTGCAAGGATGGATCCTGCTGCTCTTGGTATCGCTCGGCGCGCTGCCGCCGAAGTGCCGCCAACTGGGCTTGGGAATCTGCCTGAGTGACGAAACCTCATATGGGGGGCTCAGTAATGAGAATAGGTTTGCGGCTCGGGGGTTTAGGGTTTAAGGTTCGGATGACGAAGACTCATATGGAGGCCTTAGTAACGAGAAAAAGGTTCAAGGTTCGGGGTTTTTGGGCATCCTATTCTTACTGACGTATCACTCTGTACGGACGACAGGAAGCTTGCTGTTTAGTCTGCAGGCACTCATAGTATATGTGTATATATATGTATGTATATATATATATATATATATATATATATATATATATATAGATGCGAATGGTGACGACAATGTCGAAAATGACGGTGGGGATGATGGAAAAGGATAGTGCTGCCTGTCATTGCATTGCGGGTCTAGTACTTCTGCTTCTGCAGCGACGACGACAACGGCTGCCGCGAGTACAATTTTTGATATATCCAATAACAGTCTGGTAAGGCCATGGGGTTCTTACATTAAAAGTAAGGCTAGGGGATTCAAAACTTAATGTCATCGCGAGGCGCTTGGGCGCAGGGTAGGCGCAACCTGACACATAGAGAGCCTAAGAGAGTAATAATGTGATACTACGAACCATATATATATATATATATATATGCGGGCCCTGTGTCAAATCCTGAAACAACCAAAGTCCAATCCTTGCATCCTCAACCCGAAAACCTAAAAACTCCAAACATTGAACCCCAAACCTTACACCCTAACCCCTTTAAGCCCTGTAGCCCTAAACCCTATAACCCTAGACCGGAAAGCCCCAAATCCTGTAGCCGAAACCCCTTCAAACCCCTACCCTAAACCCTATAAACCTTTTACACCCTGTAAACCCCCCGAGAGAGCCCAACACCCCTTAATCAAGGAATATGGCTTAAAATAAATAGGACTTCATATTATGATTTAAGCTATATTCCTGAATTAAGGGGTATTAGAATCCCCTAAACCCTAAACCCTATAGATCACCAATAGGTCCTTTTAAGGAACCCTAGGTATTCCTTAACTAAGGTGTATTGGGCTCTCTGGGCCTGTAAACCCGGAACCGGAACCCATAGGGTCCTAGGTACTGTTATGGGGGATACTTCCCTAAATCATAACAGTAATTCCTAATATAGAAACCCTAAACCCTAAACCCCAAAACAGTAAACCCTATACCATATAAACCCTAAACCCTATACCCTAAACGCTAAACCCTACATTCTACCATATAGGTACTTTGGACCCTTCGGGGAAGCACCCAGTGAGCGCCTGCGAGGCTTCGGCAGCTGCCCTGGCGCGCTCCTCACTGGCATTTGGCTTCGGCGTATAGGGGCTTTGGGGCTTTAGAGGTGCCATAAGAAAGGGATCCATAGCTATAGAGGGGTCCCTTCAAAGGCAAGTATATAGGGTTTGGGCGTTTAGGGTTTTACGGTTTGCAGGGTTTAATAATTGGGCTTTGGGGCTGTAGGGGTGCCATAAAAACGGGATCTACAGGGGTTGATTCAAAGGGAAGTATAGGGTTTGGGATTTAGGGTTTAGGGGTTTAGGGTTTGGAGGGTTTAACATTTGGGCTTTAGGCTTTGAGACCTTTAGTTGTGCAGGGGTCCTGGTTTAAGGAGGAGGGTGGCCACCTCTGCCCATGTTCGGACACCTGTCTGCGGGCTACCTCGCTGGGACGGGGTTTTAGCCGCGGAGTGCGTCTCGGAGGGAAACAGCAGCAATGAATACGAGCCTGTTTCAAGACTTGTCCTAGAACTGCATTCGGCAAGTGCCCGAAGGAACGATGCAGGCGCCTTTGGCGACCCGTGCCTCGCTCCGCCTCCGCAGAGGGAGTCCCTGGGAAGGGGAACTGCTCTAGGATAAGGCGCTCTCGTTCTTCCGAGCTGGTGGGCGGCCCCACGTCGGCCTGTTGTTCGCGAGGGCTTTAGGGTGTCCGCGCGCTCCGAGAAGCTGAGTTCGCGCGGAAGGACCAGCTTGTGGTCAAAGGACGGCTCGACGGAGTCGATCGCGATGAAGGCCAGACCAGCCATGAGTGACTGGCCTGACTGGCGAGGAAGTCCGGTAAATAATCTGTGCTTATGCAAGTGCGAAAAAGTCACATACACCTGTGCTGGCTGCTGGGTTCTACCGCAGAATATGATCCTTCATGATGGTCGCATTGTCACATGGGATCTCAACAGCTCAGTGTCCGAAACTAGAATGCGAAAGGCCGGCTGCCTCTGAGGCACAGGTCGTGATGCAGTCTTACCCAACTTAGGTTGATGAAGCTTACTGTCTGCGACCGTTGACCGGACAATGGGTGAAAGGGTCGGCTTGGGAAAGGAGGGGGTGTTACGAGTTTCCAAATCTGCCACGGTGTCAATTTGCATAATTAGGGGTTTTAGGAGTACAGTAGGGCTGGGGAGTACACGAAAGTATCTCAGATGATCCTGGGAGTATGAAGGACGACTACGACTACGGTTGCTGCTGGTCGTGGATCAGGGAGGATCAGGCAAGGATCCCCATGATAACCCTGAGATCCCATGTAGTAGTCTCGATAACCCCTTCCCCAATCACTGCTAAGAACCAAGGAGTCCTCAAACCCTACTGTAAACAACTCTAAACCGCTCAAAAACCCTATACCCTTCTATCCCGAAGAACCCTAAAACCCTAAACCCTATAATATCCCTAAGAACCAGGGAGTCCCTAAAACCCTAAACCCTATAATATCCCTAAGAACCAGGGAGTCCCTAAAACCCTAAACCCTATAATATCCCTAAGAACCAGGGAGTCCCTAAACCCTAAACCCTTGCCCCAGATCCTGCTTCATCTGCTGGGAAGATTTCGCCTGCATCAGCTTGCGGGCCGGGGCTAGCGGGCCGGGGGCTACGGATGTGCTAAGGCTTCTTCAAAAGAACTCTAAGGATTACTACAGGGGATACCCTAAACCCTAAACCCTACCCTCTACCCGAAACCCTAAACTGCAAAGTTTGCTATCATTTAAGGGTTTAGGGTTTGGTGGCGTGATCGGGCTCCGAGGCTCGGAAAATAGGTTTAGTCTGCAGGATCTGGGGTTTCCAGTGGTTCGTGGTTAGGCCATGAAAAGCTTTGGGTGAAGTTCCCTGATCTGTTCTATATCATTATTGTAGCCGTGCATATACCCTGCTTATCAAACTAAGTCCCTAGATCCTCCAAGAAGGACCTAGGCTGCGTGGATGCTATATCAGGCTCAAGAACCCTATATGTCGTCCTTCTTGCAAGCTGACGGAGCTGGCGCACAACCGCCGAAAAGCTAAGCCTGTTCCTTTTGGGGCAAGTCGGCCTTTGATGGTATATTTGACCTACAGAACCTGCGGATTTGATGCCCTAAGGTTCCATGTGCCCACATAGTAGATGACGCTTTGGACCTTAAGCTACCCCAGAAAAACCTACGAAACCTATTGTACTGCGGACCCTTGAACTTAGATTGTGATGCTTGTAGCATATACTCCGGCCTTACGGCTGTTCCGCATCATAGAGGTGCCTAAATTCGGCCTAAATACCTACCAATACTACTCACTTTGGGGGGTTGATTATTTATTTTAGATGTAGGGCTTAGGGTTTAGGGCTTAGGGTTTAGTAGAAGCTCGTGCAGAGAAGCTTTGTCGGTCAGAGGTTCCGGATGTCTTGCTTTCTGAGACACAGCAGACCACAACACCTAGCTAGACTATATTTAGTTTTTGTTGTTTAATGCTCCTTTTTCTGCCATAGTAGGACGAAAAGCGGCTATGTTTAGGGTTTAGGGTTTGGCTGAAGGTTTAGGGTGTGTTTTGCTTGAAGATTTCTAACAGGTGTTGCCGACGCCCAACCCTACTGCCAAACAACCGCCCCGGATCCCTCAACAACAAACTACCTCTTCAACTGTGCAAGCAACAAGCAAGTTTCATCCCTGGGGATCCAAAAACCTACCGTTTTAAGACCCTATAATTCAGGGGGCATAACCCACTATTTTGTAGGGTTTGGGGATATAGGTCTGAATTGGAGAACTCTGAACCAAAGTGAGGAGCCGCACAGCGAACCCAGCCTGCCTCTGCCCTACTATTCTTATCCGGTATAAACCCCTTGTGTATAGTGTAAGGCCTGCGTCTGCCTGAATGCCTGAAACGAGATGAAATTATGGACTTAGATGACCTGTTGAGTGGTTCTTTCGAAACATGAACAGACATGTGTGGGAGCTTCCGAAAACAGTAGTAGGATCCTCATTTTAAGGATCCCAAAATAAAGTTCCCCTAATTTTGGGAAACTCCCGTATCACTTCTTTTGCATTTGCCAGCGATCACACCTTCGCCGCCGGGCGCTGTGCTGCAGATGTCTTCGGCGCCGCTTCCTGAGCGATAATGCAGGGTTTAGGGGGTTTGGGTTTAGGGTTTAGGGGCCTCAACAATTAGACCACAGTGTGGGTGCATGTTGTAGTTATCTACGGACTTTCAGGAACACTAGCTTTAATTCACATTGGGGCCTGAAGGGTTGAGGGATTTCTGAGGGGACGAGCAGAGGGAATCAAAATTAAGTTTTGAACCAGAGGAGAGCAGCCACAAAAAGTGAGGAACAAGGGAAAGCGAGGAGAGGGAGCGAGTTTATGAGACAGATGCCGTGCATAGTCCTCCACTTTATCGCTGCACGCACGCGGAATGTCATGCCGCGGTACCCTGAATCATGCAGGCTCCAAAACACGGAATCCCTCAACCTTAAACCACAAACCCCGCAAGCACTGAAGCCGAAACCCGGGAACGCCAAACTCGAACAGAAACCTTATACGAGTTGGTGAACAGAACCCAGTCGCCCCTAAGAGTCCGCCTTTACCCAAGTTGTAGGCTTTCGGTGTTGGAAGATGGCTAGGTACCGTATCAGAGCTACCCAAAGGCCCCATAGTAGTTCCTTTTTCGGATTGCCTTATAGGATTCTAAATATGAATCCCAAAAAGGAACTACTTTGGGGCCTATGGGTAAACCAAAAGTTGCCATGAATGCCTGGCTGTTGTTGGGGGTTCGAACCTCTGCACTCCGATTCCCTTCGCTGTGCTCGGTCCTAGACCTAGTACTCAAAACCCCAAAACGTGAATCCCACGTTGACTCAAACACGAAGACTCTGCAAAGGTCCTGAGCACAATACAGGGGCCTTTATATAAGTAGAGTATGGTTTAGGGGGGTGCATTTTACTATACTAAATGAAAAGTACCCTAAACCCCTAAACCCTAAACTCTTAAACCCCTAAACTCTACACCCTGAACCCCTAAACCCCTGAACCCCTAAATCCAAAACCCAAAACCCTAAACCCTATAACCCAAAACCCTAAAGTAAAAGCCAGAAAGTTGGAATATGATTATCCTAAACCCTTTATGGTAGATTATAAGGCATAGTCCAACTTTCTGGAGTTCCCTTTAAAACCCTGAAGCTCTCCCTACCGGGTTCCCCCACAGCCGGGCCAAGGCTCAGCCTGAAATCCGGGCACCAGGGATTCGGGGCTTCGGGGGTTCCACGGTTTAGGGTCTGGGGGTTAGGGTTTAGGGGTTTAGGGGTTTAGGGTTTAGGGTTTAGGGTTTAGGGTTCAGCAGCTCTGGGTTTGAAAATTTCGTGTCAAGCTATTTCTTGTCAAGCTATCTTCAAGAAGAAACCCCACTCACATTAGGAATAACAGTTTTATTTCTTTCCGCTTGAAGTTAATAAACAATCTTTTACATACCACAAACAAGTTAACAATAGTTTTACCCATTCGTTTGATGTGAGAATCAGAATGCACCTACATATTGACGCTAATGCTTGGCAGCATGTATCACATAGTTCAGACAGAAACTACACAACAGACATCTTGAATACACCTTCCAAGAACAGTACAAGTCGGGCGATAAGCCTCTAACATATTACTTACGAAACACGGTACATGAAACCTACGAGTTTTAAGGTTTAACTATGCGAGGATAGTGCGAACACCTTACCCTTCAGATCCTGAAGGGTTCAAGGAAACCCTTCAGGTCATGAAAGGATTGGGGGAACCCCTCAGGTCCTGAAGGGTTTAGGGAAACCCTTCAGGTCCTGAAGGGTTCAGGGAAACCCTTCAGATCAAGAATGGTTCAGCAAACCCTTCAGGTCCTGAAGGGTTCAGGGACACCCTTGAGGTCCTCAGAGGTTTTCTCCAAACCTTTCAGAACCTCACAACCTTTTGCATACCTTGCACCGGGTGTCTTACAAAACGGAGCGTGGTTGAACCGACAACTTGATAAATTCAGTTCTCTGTCTTGCGCATCTCCATTTGCCAAGATCGCAAGTCTTCGACGAGAAAAGGTTACGGGGTGGGGAGGGGTTTGTCTTAAGTGTTCGCACGATCCTTGCATAGTTAAACCTTAAAACTGGTAGGTTTCATTGACCGCGCCTCTTGCTACATGCTTTGATTTCTTGCAGGGTTTAGGGTCCTATGGTTTAAGAGCTTAGGGTTCTTGCATTAGGGTTTTTTATTGTAAGTTTTCCAAAACCAATTTTTGACCTTGTGCAAAAACGGTTCTTGCAAGTGGACGTGGTCCGAGGGTGGGGTGCGGCTATTCGAAGTAGTGTTAAACTTTCTAGAAGATAGTTTTGTTGTAAGTTATTCAAAAGCCATTTTTGCACTTGTGCGAAAACGGTTTTTGGACTTGGACGTGGTCCGAGGCTGGGGTGTGGCTATTCGAAATAGTATGAAACTTTATAGAGAGTTGTTTGATTATAAGATATACAAAAAATGCACATGTGCAAAAACGTTTTGGCACTTCGACATCGTCTGAGGGTGGCTCTCTGCAAAACAAAGCGTGGTTGAACCGAAAACTTGTTAGATTCAGTTATCTTTCTTGTGAAAGGGGTGATGGTTCGCGGATGCCTGTGGTAAGGTTCTTGTCTTGGCAAATGCCGCGGTGAGGGATCGCAGTGCTTGTGGTAAGGTTTTTGTCTTGGCAAGTGCCTGCCCTGCCCTGCCTCTGCCCTCTTCTGCCCACTTCCACCCTCTACCCTCTGCCCGCCCTGTCCTGCTCTGCCCTGCCCTACCCTGCTTTGTGGCAATGGGGAGAGTGGAGGGAGGGTGGGGGTGGTGGTGGGCCCCTTTGCCCTGCCCTGTCCTGCCCTGGCCTGGCCTGGTCTGCTAGGGTGACGCCCAAGAGTTTTGATCAGCCGGCCACGAAGTTTGGACACGAGTTTTGATCAGTTGGCCACGAGTATTGATCAGTTGGCCACGAGTTTTGATCAGTTGGCCACGAGTTTTGATCAGTTGGCCACGAGTTTTGATCAGTTGGCCACGAGTTTGGATCAGTTGGCCACGAGTTTGGATCAGTTGGCCACGAGTTTTGATCAGTTGTCCACGAGTTTTGATCAGTTGGCACGAGTTTTGATCAGATGGCCACGAGTTTGGATCAGTTGGCCACGAGTTCTGATCAGTTGGCCACGAGTTTGGATCAGTTGGTCACGAGTTTGGATCAGTTGGCCACGAGTTTTGATCAGTTGGCCAAGAGTTTTGATCAGTTGGCCACGAGTTTGGATCAGTTGGCCACGAGTTTGGATCAGTTGGCCACGAGTTTGGATCAGTTGGCCACGAGTTTTGATCAGTTGGCCACGAGTTTTGATCAGTTGGCACGAGTTTTGATCAGTTGGCCACGAGCTTGGATCAGTTGGCCACGAGTTTTGATCAGTTGGCCACGAGTTTTGATCAGTTGGCCACGAGTTTGGATCAGTTGGCCACGAGTTTTGATCAGTGGCCACGATGTTGATCAGTTGGCCACGAGTTTGGATCAATGGCCACGAGTTGGGATCAGTTGGCCACGACTTTGATCAATGGCCACGAGCTTTGATCAGTTGGCCACGAGTTTTGATCAGTTGGCCACGAGTTTTAATTAATCAGTTGGCCACGAGTTTTGATCAGTTGGCCACGAGTTTTGATCAGTTGGCCACGAGTTTTGATCAGTTGGCCACGAGTTTTGATCAGTTGGTCACGACTTTGGATCAGTTGTCCACGAGTTTTGATCAGTTGGCCACGAGTTTTGATCAATGGCCACGAGTTTGGATCAGTTGGCCACGAGTATTGATCAATGGCCACGAGCTTTGATCAGTTGGCCACGAGTTTTGATCAGTTGGCCACGAAATTTGATCAATGGCCACGAGCTTTGATCAGTTGGCCACGAGCTTTGATCAGTTGACCACGAGTTTGGATCAGTTGGCCACGAGTTTTGCTCAGTTGGCCACGAGTTTTGATCAGTTGGCCACGAGTTTGGATCAGTTGGCCACGAGTTTTGATCAATGGCCACGAAGACTATAGGGTTTAAATATACATAGGTATATAAGTTTAGGGTTTAGGGTTTATGGTTTACTTTAAGTTTTGGGTTGCGTTTTTTTGAGGGGGGGGGGGTGCCAGGGATTCGGTACATTCGGGTTTTTTTTAGAAGGGGTTGGGGTTCTCCTTGAAGGGTTCCCTGGAAGGGTGGCTGCTGCAAGTTTTGGGTTCCTTTTAGGGTTCCCTTGAAGGGGTCCTGCAAATTTTGGTGGCTTCGGGTCTTAGGGTCTTAATTAGGGTCTTAGAGGTTGTTATAAAGCTCCTTTTCGATGTCTTAGAGTTTAGGGTCTTAGGGTCTGAAGGGTCTCGGGGTATATGGTACCATGGTTTAGGGCACCAGGGGTCTAGGGTTAAAGGGTCAAGAATGGGTAAGAGTTTTAAGTTATAGGGTCTTATAATATAAGCCCTAGATTATTGCGCTTAGGGTACGAGGGTTGAGGGTATAGGATAGGATTCAGGGATTGGGAATGGAAGAGACTGCGGGGATCGCAGGGATTTACAAGGCGGAGTGTTTAGGCAATTGAAGGTTTCGCCATTTGCTGCTCATTTGGAGTTCTGGTTACAAGGACGTGATGAAACTACTTATGCCCCAGGGATCAAAATCGCCCAAAGGCCTCATATAGTATGGTCTTTGGGCCCAAAAGCCTTAATATATGAGTCCTTGGATCCCTGCAAATGGTGGGATCAAGATAACAGGGTTGCCACCCGAATGCTGTCATTTCTCGAGGTTCGCTGCAGGTTTTCAAAGCCCAAACCCAGGACCCCAAACACCAAACCCGAGCCCTAAAGCTTATACCGTCCACCAGACCCAAATGCTGAATTGAAGCGCTAAGCCCGAAGACAAAACAACAGTTACGAACAACAACTCCGACCCAAAGCCCAAACCGCAAAGCCCCAAAAAAAGTAGGCTCCAAACCCCAGCCCATACCCTCTGAATCGATTCAGATGTACTGATGTAGGAAGTCTTAGGAAAGTACGGCGGATGTACTCGTGAATCTGTGCAGACATGTAGTTGCGCAATTCTGTGTGTATGTCTGCGCAGAGACATTGAAAGCAGGTGCTCGTGCTGTGCAGGCATCTTCCCCGATGCCCAAGTAAGGCCACGATCCTACACAGTTGCACGATGCCCTGATATATCAGCCCGGGTACTCTTACCCTAGGCTTCTTATTGTTGGGTCCTTTAGGGGTCTAGGGCCCAAACTATAAGGTCCTTGGAAGCATAGGGTTAGGCATGAAATATCTCTTTCACTCATTGCCACACTCCAAATACAAAAGAACAGGCTTCCTAAGAAGCCCCATGTCCAAGACTCCCCCCAAGCCAAAAAAGTATATACTCAAAAGCCAAAAAGTATACACATCGCCCCATATATCCATATGTATATATATATATATATATACATATGTATATATATATATATATATGTATATATATATACATGTATATGTATGCATACTCCGCAACCGATACCCTCTGCAAACCCTATAGGCCCGATAGTCCCTGAACCCTAAAGCCCAAGCCGAAACCGAAGACATCTGAGGGCCGTGCACAAGCGAGTCGACCACCTCAAGAGCCTGACACATCCCGTCAGAAGGACAGGGTTTAGGGGCTTAGGAAGGGGGGGTTAGGGGCTTAGGGTTTAGGGGTTTGCGGTTAAGAGGGTTTAGCGTTTAGGGTTTAGGGCTTAGGAAAGGCGGGGTACGATGTAGGGTTCAGGGTTTAGGGTTCAGGGGGTTAGGAAGGGCTCCTTGGAGGGATCCTTTGAGAATTCCTCCGAGGGTTACACTTAGGATAGTGGTTACCACATGGCTTCGGGGTTTAAGGGTCAGGTTACGGGTTTAAGGTTATTATTAATAGAGTGGCCTTCATACTTAGATTAGGGTAATCAGGGATACCCAAAATAGTATAGGTACTTATTTCGGCCCCTATATTATGGAGCAGCCGTTTTGAGGCTTAGGCAGGGTTTAGGGTTGACTACTAAGGCCCCTACATTACCCCAAGGCTCCATGTACCCATATCGTAGATACTTGGGCCTTAAAGTACCTATATAGGGACCCCTTAAAGCTTAAGTATCTACTATAAAGGTACATTTTACTACAAGGCCCCTATACTATGAGGATGTGGCCCAGGTCTTGGCGTGGGTTCACGGCTTCGGGTCCGGGTCTGCCTACGGCTCTGGCGGGATATGAAAACCTCTCAAGCAATCCTTACTTAGAGGCCCAGGGGACTTAGTAATTAAGGTTCCTTAAAGGGTTCCTTAAAGGGCTCTTTAAAAGGGATCTGTAAGAGTTCTATAAGGGAGGTTTTAGGGTCACTTAGAGGCCCAGGGGACTTAGTAAGTAGGTTTTAAGTAGGGTTATAAGTACCCTAAATCGAGTAACCCCCGTTATAACCCTACTTATAACCGACTTACTAAGTCCCCTGGGCCTCTAAGTAGGGCCCCGCATGGCCGTACATGTGGTTCCTTATCGTAGCTCTGCCTTTAAAGGAACCCTTCCCTTAACGCAATGACCCTGAACCCTAAACTCTGCACCCTAAACCCTCCAAGCCCTTCAAGTCACCACAGCAGGGAACCGAAGATGGAAAGCAACGAGTCCTGCGACCACACTCCCCGAACCCTCAACTTCAGAAGCGGTTTAGGGTTTAGGGTTTAGGGGCTTTTGGGTTTAGGGTTTAGGGGTTTTTGGGTTTAGGGGCTTCAATACTGCTTAGCTTTGCAAGGGCTTAGGGTTGTTGATGGCTTCCAAGGCGAGGTCCCCAAGCCCATCCAAATTATAGGTAGAAACTGCCCAACGCCTGTAAAAGGTGTTGGTCCTAGTTGCGTAAATGATGGGTCCAGGATCTTGCTATGCCTTACGGAGACACCAACTTCAGTCAGTTGAAGCTTGGGGATACCAAGAAACCCTAGGGGCCCAAGTACCATGAGCATCATATGCTCTTCTCTAGACCTAAGAGTAACCTAGGAATAAAAAGGGTGCCCTTTTTGGTTTAAAGGGGGTTATAAGGGAACCTAAGCCCTAAAAAAGGGAATAAGGGCCTACTCCGGGTCCTAGTTCTGAATACTAACCTCAAAACTTTGGACCCTTGGGGGAATGGCAAGGAGTGACAGAAGCGGTGGGATCGTCAAGTTCCGGCTCGGAAACCTTAAGCCCGAAATGCCCTCAACAAATACCAAGAGGGTCCACATACACTACTATTATGGAACCAGGTCCCCAAAACCATGCCGGTGATGGTCTTTTGAGGCCTAATTCGGCCTAATTACATAATAGTAGTGTATATGGACCGGCTGGGATACAAGTCAACAAATACAAGACCTACGGATGCCAGCACCAGCACGGCCAAGGATTCCGAATGAACAGTGTTGGTGATTATTCTGGCCCCGTTGTAACATTGTATCAGCGGTACTGGCCGCAGTTGTAATCTGTAGAGGAAGCAGCGTATTGTAGCGGTCGTCGTGGATCAGACCCACGAAAGCATAGTGCAAGGAGGAATCGGAGGAGGCAAAGGAGGAAGAGGAGGCAGGACGAGGAGGAGGAGTGCTAGTCAGTGGGAATCAGTGCCGGGCACCGCCGTCGTCGTAATGGCAGTTGCAGCAGCGGCTAGCAGCGGCAGCAGAAGTCGCAGTAGCAAAAGGTTGCAGCAAGTGTCTCACATTGAGTACGCTCATCTTTTTCGATGCAGCATCGCAACATGCACGAACTCCCGAGCATAGCGAACTCACTGCGCGACCGAGGTGTGTCTCGCAGCTCGAGGTTTTTGTTCTTCAAGTCAATTGTCTCGTGTTTGTGGATGAAAGGGTAGGAACTTAAACCCAGAACCGAAGACTCTAACCCTACTTGCAAGAATCCTGAAGCCTCACTCACATCCTATTTCGACCCGCACCCGCGTCGTCGCCCTACCGGGTGTGTCAATGAGAACTATACTTTCAGGGTTTAGGGTTTAGGGTCTAGGGTAATCACAGATTTTCTTCTCGTTCATCCACAAAGCGAGTTTGCAATGTCATGGCAGCGACTGAACTACTCGTAGCTTCTTATAGAGCTATGCGTCTATGAGTCTATATCCTCTGGGGTTAGCGCAAGGTCTATTGTTTTAGGGTTGAGTTGTTCTCGTGTTCCGGGCGTTTGCGTCACACCATTGTGAGGTTTGTCCCCAAAACACCCTAACATGGAGAACCAGCAAGCTCCTCCTACACTCTAAGAACCCGAAACTCTCAGCCCTAAAGCCTACAAAACCGTCAGCGCAGCAGCCCGGGCCCAAACCCTTTGATAACTAGAAAAGGGTTTTGGGGCCCAGCAAACTGTGATTATAATAAGGAGCCACCAAAATAGCATCGGTAATCATTTTGGCCCCTAAATTATGGAGCAACCGTTTTGCGGCTTAAGGTATTGTTTAGGGTTTACTGAGGTTTCAAAAATAGCTTGAGGCCTTCATTAACCATGAAACTCGCAGCGGTCGAGATTCCATGAAACCCTAAAGAACCCTTGAAGGGACTCTTATGGAGACCTTATAAGTACTTAGAGGCCCAGAGGACTTAGTAAGTCGGTTATAAGTAGGGTTATAATTGGGGTAACTCCATTTAGGGTACTTATATTATAACCCTGCTTATAAGCTACTTGCTAAGTCCCCTGGCCCCCAAGTAGCCCTTGAAAGAACCCTATTTCGGCACATGGACTCTTTAAGGAAAGGGTGCTCCGAACCACAGAAACCCGAGCCTTGAGACACACCCGGACGAATTGGGCGACAGTCGGAAATTCAGTGCCTTTCAAGGCTTCGGGCTTCAAAGGCTTCAGAGTTGAGTTTCGGATTCAGGTTAGAATCTCCGACTTCTACCCAAACATATCCATGTCGGCGTCAACGGCTTCCTTCTGGGGCTCCTCAGTAGCCTCCTTCTCTTTGTCGTCGCCTCGGTGTATAGTGGCTACGGTTGAGGGTCCGGCTCGGTTTCGCCAGCTGCAGAGGCCTGATCCCTGAAAATTTAAGAACCCAAACCCTGAACCCAAAACCCTGCTACCGCTCAACCACCGAAACCTGTTCCTAAAATCCAATAATACACCCTATGCTCTAATCCCAAAATCCCAATCCCAAACTGATAAACGCTGAATCCCAAACTCTATGACACTGCACCATCCGAATCCGCAGTAGCACGGCTCGGTCGCGCGCCGACATCTTTCAACAAGCCTCCAAGAAGAGCAGGACCTTGGTCAAACAGTCGTTAGGGCCGGTAAGGCTTCCCTAAGGGTCCATGTACCTAAATAGTATATACATTGGCCTTAAAGTAGTCCCTATATAGGTACATTGGGGCCAAAGTATATGCTATTTGGGACATGGACCCTTATACCCTAAACCCTAAACCCTTATAGGAACCCCTATAGAACCCTTGTAGGAATCCTTAAAGGAACCCTATTTGGGCACATGGACCCTTTGGGTTTTCAGCTCTAGAGGATCTAGAGTTTATAATTAGTCATTAGTGTGTGAGAACATGCCAGGACCAAGTGAACTCGAAAAGGGCTTGAAGGGTTAAGGGTTCATATCCCGAATGGGCTTCAGGGTGTGCGGATGCAGACTTTTTAGGGATCATGTCTCCATGGCTTTATTGACTTCGGGGTCCCACACAAAAAATGCATCGCAATGAGGACAGCCTGCAAACTTTTGGTGTCTACATCGAGGTCCGGAGCAGGCTTGACAAAGCGTAAAACGCAGAATCCGTAACCCCAATCTTTACCAAGTCAACCCTACCTGGACCCCAAACGTATGTGGAAGAATTGCCTTTTCTCGGGAGTTGGGCAAATATGTTCCTTACTTCTGGGAAGCCCTAACCCCTGAACCCTCGACCACTAACAACTCTTGAACCACACCAACAAGGGAGGCCCCGAAAATGAGGTCATGAGGCAGCTAGGCAAGCTTGCAATCAGGGTACTATGCGGGTCGAAATATCACCCATAGTATTCCATAGGATTGCAAGTAGAGAATAGTATACCCAATCACTAAAAAACAAACTCTATCCAAAAGCCCTTTTCTGATATGCGGCTACACCGGGAAACCCTAAACCCTGAAGCATGGAATCCATGCAGGGTAGATCTCCCAAGCCCGTCTTCTTTAGGGTTCCTTTAAAGGGATCTATAAGGGTTCCTTTACAGGGATCTATAAGGGTTTAAGCTTTAGAGGCTACGGCAAATACTCAGCTTTGATAAGAAGACCCCAAGCCAAAAAGGGCAAAGGTGTGTGGTACTCAGGAACCGAGTCGGGTCCCTGGAAGCCTACACCCCAAACCCTAAATCCCCAAAGTCTGAACTCTGATCCCTGATGAACCCTCGCGTCCCTACGCCCTACCTTAACTCTGAGAAACCTACCTGTTCAGGGTTCCTTAGTATGATTGATGTATATAGGTCCTGAATAAGGTTAGTTAGTCCGGGGTAAGGTAAACCCTGCCTGTAGCCAAAAAGACCTACCTTTTTAAGAGACTCTATATAGAAACCATAATAAGAAACCCTAAAAAGGTATATGGGAGTTTCCGAAAATAGGGGACCCTAATATAGCATCCTAAATAGTAGGATCCTTATTATGAGGACCACCCAAATAAGGTACCTCTAATTCTCGGAAACTCCCATATAGGTCTTTTCGGCTACAGGTGCTTTGTGAAATGGAGACCCTGGGCTACTCAGCGGAGGGCCGATAGGGGCAGCACCCTGCTCATGGAGCTCCTGCTTGGGTTTTTTTTTTGACAAGTTGGGGCTTAGGGGGTTTAGGGTTTAAGTTTACGGTTAGGGGGTTTAGGGTTTAAGTTTACGGTTTTGGGGGTTTAGGGCTTAGGGTATAGGGGGTTGGGGTTTAAAGTTTGGGTTTAGGGGGTTTAGGGCTTCGGGTTTAGGCGGTTTAGGGTTTAGGGAGTCAGTTAAGCTTTCGGGTTTAGGGGGCTAGGGTTTAGGGTTTAGGGGGTTTAGGGTTCAGGGAGTCATTTAGGTTTAGGCGGTTTAGGGTTTAGGGGGTTTAGGGCCTCGGTTAGGGTTTAGGGTTTGGGATTCTCGAACGGAAGGGGGAAGGGGAAGGGGTTTCTTCAGGGGTTGCATGAGGCTTGGGTATAAAACGGTTTGAGGGTGAAGGAAGGCTGGCCGAGGCCTGGGTGTCGGCTTTCCTACTTAGGAATAATTTTGAACAGGATTTCTATAGCTTTTGGATACTTTTTGGTTTGAGTGTTTGGGCTCGGCGCACAAAGCGGTCTGTAGGCTGTTTCATTTCGGCCTTCTTGGCTAGCGAACCCTTAAACGGGTTCCTATAAGGATCTTGCAGTATAAGTTTGTATAGGTTTCTCATCTACACGGGGTCCTATAAAGAGCATAGAACCCGGCCTCCCAAACCCTGAGGATAAGCCCCAAAAGGGGGCCACCGAAACCGTAGAACCTAAACCCTCATGGCCCCACCACCTTCGTCGGAATCCTGCAAACGCAACCTGCAACCCGGAACCTCCAAGATCCCCACCCCCCGAAAGGGTCCCCAAAGAAACAATCTTCATCAGAGCCATTTAAGGGCTTGCCAAGCCCTGCAGAACCATCTAGAACCCCTGCTCTCCGGCCCGAAAAGGGCAGTATAGAGGCCCCGAAAAACCATACGAATACCTATGAATATTGGTCTATAGAATCTAATAAACTAACAAGCGCCCAAAAACACCTCAAGTACACAAAAGACCATGGTGGGGCAACAGTAGATAGGAACAAAGTTGGCAAAGTAGAAAGATGCAGGCATCCTCATCATCACCACCACTAGACCCAAGAGTAACCTAGGAATAAAAAGGGTGCCCTTTTTGGTTTAAAGGGGCTTATAAGGGAACCTGAACCCTAAAAAAGGGAATAAGGGCCTACTCTAGGTCCTAGACCACCATCACCATCACGTTATGTCGACCCTAAGGGCCCAGGTGCTCCTCAGGTATGGTTTTTGATACCTAATCAGGGTTTAGGGTTTAGGGTTTAGGAGGGCCTGAAGTCCTAAAATGAGGAGTACTTGGAACCTCTGGGTAGTAATACACCAGAAAGCCAAGAACCTGATTAAGAAACCCTGGGCCTCTAAACCCCAAATAGCTGGATTAAACAGGGAGCCCTAATTTAGGCCCAAGGTTTGTTAATTAACCCTAAACCCTAAACCCCTGAATCCCGAGCCCTAAAACCACCCAAACCCTAAACCCTAAGACAGCCAAGAACTAAAAGGACCCTTATAGTACCCTTATGGTACCCTTTAAGTGAAAGGAACCCTTACAGAACCCTAACTAATAAGAGCCCCAAGGTTTCGTAATCAGGTTCCTACATTAATCCAGAAAGCCAAGAACTTAAAGGACCCTTATAGTGCCCTGTAAAGGAACCCTTATAGAACCCTAATAAAAGCCCCCCAAGGTTTCTTAATCAGGTTCCTACATTAAACCACAAAACCCTAAACCCTAAAACCCCATAAACCCTTAAATCCTAAACCCCTAAACCCCCTATATGAACCCTCAAACCCCCTATATAAACCCTAAACCCTAAAACATTAGAAAGCCAAGAACTGAAAGGGCCCTAATATAGTACCCTAAACAGTAGGATGCTTGTTATAAGCCCAATAAGGTACCCCTCATTTTCGGAAACTCCCAGCAAGCCGAGAACTAAAAGGACCCTTATGGTACCCTTTAAAAGAACCCTTGTAGGTTTCTCGATCAGGTTCCTACATTCAACCAGAAAGCCAAGAACTAAAATCCTCTAAACCTCTAAACCCTAAACCCCTAAACCCTGAACCCTAAACCCCAAAACCCCCTATATAAACCCTCAAACCATACACCCTAAACCTTAACACCCCCTATATAAAACCTAAACCCTAAAAACCCCTGTATAAACCCTAAACCCTAAAACCCCTACATACCTAAGAAAGCCAGGACACTACAAGGCCCCCAGCCTCCCGGGTCGGCCCGAGGCCCTCGAAGAGCTCCGAGGCCAAGGGCGTATCTGAGCGTCTCTTGGCTTCAGGGACTTAGGGGTTTAGGGTTTGGGGTTTAGTTTAGGGTTTAGGTTTTTAGGCTTTTAGTTTAGTGGTTTAGGGTTTAGGGGGCTTTTAGGGGTTTATAGGGCGATTTAGGGGTTAAGGTTTAGGGTGGAGGGGTTTATAGGGCGATTTAGAGGTTTAGGGTTTAAGGTTTGGGGTTGAGGGGTTCGTAGCGCGATTTAGGGGTTTAGGGTTTAAGGTTTAGGTTCAGGGACTCAGGGATAGAATGCATGTGTGCGTATATACAGCCAATGTTATATATGATACATAATCCACGTACAACCGTGAAACGAGCACTTATTTCCATAATTGTATTTACATGTCAGGTACAACAGTGGAAAACACACTTATTTTCGTAATTACATATACATACAGCTTATGATTCATGGTTATCTATGCTTCATGATTGTATATGTATATGCACATACATGTACTGTGTGTCTGTTTATGTCTATGTATGTCTATACGTGTGTAGATATTTATATGTACTCGCTTATCTCTAGCGATCTATCTATCTACCTAACTATCTGTCGACGTACCTAGCTCTCTTTCGGTCACCTATCTATATATCTATCTATCTATCGACCTATGTGTCGAACTATGTCTTTATCTACCCATCCATCTATCTATATGCCCATTTATGCTCTGAGTACCCGGTCTCTCTCTCTCTCTCTCTCTCTGTATATATATATATATATGTATATATGTATATATATATATATATATATGTGTGTGTACACATACAAGCATACATCGATCTGTATGTACATTTGTATACCGTATGTTATATGAAGTACATATGTAAACCGTATGCTATGTGTGGCCAAACATTATGTGTGCTTATGTTTCCGCACATCACCCAGCGCCCGCTTTGGCGGTGTAGCCCTTGGGGACGTCGTGGAGCTGCTCCTTGATCTCCGGCGTGGGAAGGTGGAGGATGCAGCATCGCCTGGCGATGGTAGTGCCAGGGGGCCAACTGGCGGTTGCCGGCCAGCCAGCGGTCCTCGGCGTCCTTAGGTGCGCGGCCCCTCGCCGACTTGGGCTTGGGCCTGCCATCGTCGGTACAAGAACCTGGCCCCGGGCCACCGCCGGGTCAAAGGAGAGGCCACCGAGGTCGAAGGAGTCGGCCGCCGTCCTGGTGCCCGCCAGGCGTAGGCGGGGCCACCGCCCCTGCCGTGTCCATTCCAAGGGCGAGTCGGCCACCGGGTCTTTGGCGACCAGGGCCCAGTCGACTTCGGTGATTCGTTCTTTCTTGGGTTCGTGCTTCCCTTACTCGATCAATTACTTGTTTGAGCTCCTTCATCCTGAACAAGCAGAAACATGGGCTCCATTGTTGTTTCTTTCTCTTGGCAATCTCAGTACTCTTGTTATCGTCATCGCCATTGTGTTGTTTCCTAGACCCGAAAGGTCAACAATTAGGTGGTTCTCCAATTTAGGGTCCCTTTATTTATGGCACCCGTATCAAAAAGACACCGAAATTGGACCGTAACTTAGAGAACGACCCATAAAGTAATACCTTATGGTACGCTTCTAGCGATCCTATAGAAACCCGTATTGGTCCTTTCAAGCGACCCAAAAGGGACCCAAGTGGACACAGTAAGTAGGTTATAAGTATATAGGTTGTAAGTACCCTAAATGGAGTTATTCCAGTTGTAACCCTACATGTAACCTACTTGCTCAATGCCCTGGGCCTCCAAGTGACACTAAAACCCCCATAATAGAACTCTTATAGATCCCCCTTAAAGAGCCCTTTCAGGAGCCCTTTAAGGAACCTTTGAAGCAGTACTACGTCCTTATTGATCCTTTCAAGGGGGATGCCGACGAAGAGGCCGGAAGGCTGCGCTTTGTCCCATCGCTTGAGGCCGGCCGCCTCCTGTCGTCTCTTACGCCTTAGGGTTTGCGGCTTTAACATTTTGGCTAAGTTCAGGCTTTAGGATTTTAAGGTTTAAAGTTTGGGGTTTCGGGTCTATGAAATTTAAAGTGTAAAGTTGGGGGATTATATAAGGAAGGGGTTTTAGGGTTTAGCGGGTGTCAAAGAGCCTCTCGGGATGAGGGCTTTAGGGTTTTGGAGTTTGAGGGGTTTAGGGTTTAGGGAAGACTCGCTCCCAAAGTAAAGAGAAACTGAGTTCAAGGATCTGATATTCTGGGGTTGGAACCCCCCAATATGAGGAATTCAGAAAAGTTTTGTGGCGAGATGCTTGCGTCTGCATTTTATGTCTTCTTGTGAGGTCCTCCCCCAGAAGACAGGCAGGGAGAGGGGCACCGGATGAATGGGCCGTTTCTGCTTCCGGTGATTTTTGTTCGGGGGCTTGAAACTGTTCAGTAGAAGCCCAAAAGTTGGAAACCTAATAGCCTCAATCCTTAAGACTACTGTATAGGGAATCCCAGCTCTATTTGGCCTTAATCACGTTTCCGACTTTATGGGGCTTGAAACTGTTCCATGTCGGGCTCTGCTTCATGTTCAAGCCTGCGCAGAAGCAGACGACGATACAGGAAAAAACATGGCTCCTTTAAGGGCCCCTTAAAGGGATCTATAGGGTTCCTTTAAAAGGGATCTACAAGGGTTCCTATAATGAGGCGAAACCGACTTGAATGGAAGCCAGGACGGAACTGAAAAAGCAACCGAAAACGGAATGAATGCCAGAAGGGCATTGGCTACAAGCGGAAAGCAGAGCGCAACAACAACTCGAAACAGACACGGAAGCTGACATCTCCCTAAACCCTAAAACCCTAAACCCTTCTCCCGACCATGGAATTATCGAGACCGCCCTGAATCCTCCAGGCCTTCAGCCTAAAGAAACCCTGTTGCTGGAAATCCGAAGTCAGCAGGGTTTAGGGATTTAGGGTTTGAGGGTTTTAAGATTTTTTGAAAGTGCAATAACCCCTTTCTACACAGCGTAAAGTCAAGAGCTTGCTCAGGTTAGAGGTTTTAGGGTTTTAGGGTTTAGGGTTTTGGGGTTTAGGGCTAAACCCTGAACCTAAACCCTGAACCCAAATCCTGAACCCCACACTCTTAGCTCCAAGCCCTGAGCCCAATACAACATCAAACCCCGCACGAACCCTCAACGGAAGTCTTGTACTCCCCTTCACCGAGCCCTTACTAGGGACCCCAAAAGCACATAGCATAAGCATTTTACAGGGATATCCCTACCTATTGGGCTTCATTATAAGGTGATTTGTATGGGATATCCTTATCCTAATTTTTGGCCCTACTTACGGGAACCCACTGGAGGAACCCGTAACGGAGCCCTTAAAGCAAGCACCTCACAAATCCGTCCTCGTCCATTTCCTCGGCCTCGCCATCTGCTGCTTGTGAGAAGATGTCCCGAGTTTCCGCCTTGTCGGTCGGAGTTTAGGGTTTACGGTTCGTTTCCCAGAAAGGGTGCTGCAAAGGCCATTCTTGTACGGGTTGCGACCATAGGGGTTTTTTTAAACACTAGCTGCCCAGACCCCCACAGCCGCCATCCTCACAGCTGCCGTCTCGAGCTGAAATCCGCCAACCTAGGAAAGCTGAAAGACTCTTCGACCCCCTCTGAATTGGAATGCTTGCTTGGAGGGTCGGGAGACTTAGTAAGTAGGTAGTAAGTAGACTTATAAGTACCCCTAAAAAGGGGCCCTAATTGGGGTTATGGTACTTATAAGTCCCTAAAATAACTACTTACTAAGTCCCCCGACCCTCCAAGTAAGACCCCCTCTGAATTGGAATGCTTGCTCATTCTTACGGTAGCTTAGAGGCCTCGGGCTTGAATACCCAATGACAACGCCGATAGGTACAATACTCTCAGCAGTCATGCTTTTAAAGATGGGGAGGGGGCAAACTCCCGATAGTCTCGTTCAGATTGAACATGGAAAACGTACACCTGAGCCCTCCTTAACTTGACTCCTGATGAAACTCTACCTATAGACCTAAACCCTAAACCCCTAAACCCTAAAACCCCCCAAAATCTACATTATAGGATCCTGGCCTTAAAATTGGTTAACCAGAAAAAGGAACTACAATGAAGAGTGTAGGTAAGGTCCTTCGAGGCCTGATTAACATCTTAGGTTGCAAATTGCAAACTCAAATATCTTAACCTCTACTCTCCCCCCCCGCCCCTCCCACTCCAAACCCGATGCCCCAGACCCGCCCATCACACCCACCAAAAAACAAATTCTAAACCCTGAAGCTAAACTTAGGGCCCAAAAAAGCACATAAGCAAAAATGAGGATAGGGATATCCAATATTCCAATATATATATATATATATATATATATATATATACATACCATAAAACCCCCTTCAATGAAGTCCAAAAAGGTAAGGATATCACTATCAAATGCTGATGCTTATGTCCGTTTCGCGTCCCTAATAAACCCTAAACCCTAACCCCCACACCGTAAACCCTAACCCCCGCCCAACCAAAAAAACAAATTAAACAACCCTAACTAAACCCCTAAATCCCTACACCCTAACCCCCGCCCAACAAAAAAACACAACATAAAACGAGCCTTTCGTGGCTGCGCTGCCGATGGGCCCTCGGGTGCCGGAGCCGCGTCTTCCTGGTGCCAAAGAGGCTTCGGCGTGTAGGGATTCAGGGGGTTCTATAGGGGCGCCTTTAACGGGATCTAAAGGGGTTCCTTTAAAGGGAAGTATAGGGTTTAGGGGTTTGGGGGTTTAGGGTTTGGGTTTAACGGTTTGGGGTTTAAGGGTTTGGGGGTTTAGGGTTTTGGGGTGTGGGGTTGGGAGTTTAGGGGTTTAGGGGTTTAGGGTTGAGGGTTTAGGGCTTAGGGTTTAGGACTAATTAAGGGTTTAGTGTTGCAGCTTGGTAGTTTAGGGCTTGGAGTATGTGCGAAGGGTTGACAGGGCTGATTCAGATTTTTGTGAAGGGTTTATGGTCAAGGGTGGTGTTAGCGTCGGTTGATGCCTCAATGGGTCGATCGTCACTTCAGGTGATTCAGCCGAGGTTCTTATCTTAGTTTGTTTTGGGTTCAAGCTCTAGCGCTTGTTGCGATTCTTGCAGCTCACAACTTTGTCGTCCTTTGCTGGTGAAATGCCGCAGCTGTCACTCCTCGTGCATTTTATGTGGGTGGTTGTCAAAATTAGGGTCCATTTTTGGGTCCTTAGTATAGTACGGCATCTAATATTTAGGGTACCCAAAAAGGGGACCCTAATTTTGACAACCACCCATGTGACATCAGCATCATGCTCACTTCCTTAGTAACGATGCGAGAATGATTGGGGCTTGCATTCAAACATGCGCGAGTCGAGCCTTGCACGATGTATTGCCAGGTCCACTGGGTCCAAACACCGAAACGACTGAAACAAAAAAATGAACTCCGATACCACAACCGTCAACCCAACACTGTAAAGCACAAGGCCCACAAGAACCGTATACAGACCTGAAAACCAAGGCCTCGCAGTCCAACTGCTATGCGCACCCCGTTCCTTCTGCGCCCATTTGACGACCTATCAAGACCGCTAGATTTTAAAGCCCAGAATACATGGGGCGTGTTGAATTTTAACAGAGTCTGTGGGGTATGTTATGACTTTTGTGGTTGTGAGCAGAAAACTAACGACTGGTGTTGTTAGTTGCTCACTCATATATTATGGTCTCTTTATCCTAAACCCAAAACCCTAAACTTTGCCATAAACCCCTACACCCTAAACCCCTAGCTCTAACTTCAAACCCTAAACCCCCAAACCATCAACTTCTAACCCTTCGAACCCTAAACCCTAACCTCCAAGGTGTCCTCGTCTTCTTCTCCCGGGCCCTGCACTGCGCCAGGTTGCGCGGCCATGGCAGCTGCCATGGCCGCGAAAGCCTGGGCACGCTGTCTGAAAGGAGGTTTAGGGTTTAGGTTTAGGCTAGGGGTTTAGGGGTTTAGGGTTTACAAATTAATTAGGGTTTAGGGTTTAGGGTTTAGGGTGGTTTACGGATCCAGGGACCCAAGCCGCGGGGTTTGAGGTCCCAAAACGATTCAGAGGATGGGGATCGGGACTGTCCATACATCCTGGAACCAACCCAAGTCGATCCTGGTGGAAGCCTAACGGGCGGCATGGGAAAGGTAACAATTATGTTGATACTGACTGACAGACAGACTCCACCCCAATCCTTTGGCCCCTAGAGCCTCCGCATTCAGCAGCGAGAGCACGCTGTGAGTGATGATCATGCCAGACTCCACGGAAGCCAGTGGCTTTTGCCCATAGCCGCTCTTCAGGATCTTACTCAGGAAGTCCGGGCGCAACCGAAAATGCAACATCTGGTAGGCTTTCTGCTCCAGCAACTTGGTGCTCCTCTGAAACATACTTCCTTGGGTTTCAGTGGGAGGCTCCGTGCAGCTCAGGTGGACCCCAACCTTTCTCCCATGGAGCTTGGCAGCAGCCTGCAAGAAACATGCCCATGCACAGAACTGATGGGATTGTGGGATTTGGGACCGAAAACCGAGTCTAGTTGGGTATTTGGACCTTCCGGGCTGGGGCCTTAATAACTAGTTCCGGGTGTGCGGGTAGTCGCGCTCGCCATCATGCACGGGTATAGAGCCTTGGCATCGAATTGCATCACTCTCCTGTTCACGGCACAGCCGCCGGGCGGCTTCTCGAAATCGAACATGGTCACGGGCTTGGTCGACTTCAAAATCGCGTACCCCATCGAGAGGCAGGACGAAACAATTTTCATCAACGTTCAGCGCCGATGCGCGTTAAATGCAGAATCCCTCAAGCCTACACCGTCAACCATGATCTCGCGAGGGTCGCTTAGGGTACCCTTCAGGGACAGCCAGACTTGCGGACATACGAGATGTGTGGCTTCCTCCAACGCCCTGAAACCACTTTGTGGCGACATCTACACCAACAAAGATTCAAACCCGAAAACCACCCCAAGACACAAACGACCTGAAACCTCTACAACCCGATACTCTTGAAGCCCTAAAACCCTAAACCCCACAACCCTAACGCCCCAGAACTCTAACACCCTCAAGCCCTAAAACCCTAAAACCCTAGAGCCCTAAAGCCCTAGAACCCTAAATCCCTAAACCCAAAACCCTAGAAACATAAAACCCTAATCCCTAAACCCAAAACCCTAGAAACATAAAACCCTAAACCCTAAACCCTAGAACCCTAAAGCCCTAAACCCCCTAAAGCCCTAAAGCCCTAAACCCTAGAACCTAAAACCCTAAACCCAAACCCTAAAGCCCCAAAGCCCCAAAGCCCTAAACCCTATGGAACCAAAGCCTCAAAGCCCTAAACGCTGGAACCACAGCCCTAAACCCTATACCCTAAAGCCCTAAAGCCTAAGCCCCAAAGCCCTAGAACCCTAACGCCCTAAAGCCCCAAAGCCCTAAACCCTAGAACCGAAGCCTTAAAGCCCTAAACCACAGAACCCTAAAGCCCTAAACCCTAAAATCGTAAACCCCAGAACCGTAAAGCCCCTAAAGACCTAAACCCCGGGGGCCTCCTCCTCACCTTCGTCATCTTCCATGGGCTCCTCCTCACCTTCCTCGCCCACCTGTCTTTCTCGAGGGGTCTCTAGGGGACTGTTAGGGTTTAGGGGATTAGGGGATTATTAGGGTTTAGGGGGTTAGGGGATGAGGGTTTACGGGTTTAGTGATTTAGGGGTTTAGTGGTTTAGGGGATTACGGGTTTAGGGGGTTCAGGGGTTTAGGGATTTAGCGGTTTGGCGTTTTAGGGTTGGGGTGGTCAAAGCTTCATAAGGGTTTGGGGTTAGTACAGTCTTCAGAAGTTGGGTACTTTTGAGGTTTAGGATAGATTTAGTTCGTCGCGTGAGGCTTGAGGGTTTCATGCTGAAGGCTACTATAAGGGGCGTCAATTCAACAACTAGCATAGGGTTTCGGGGTCAGGCGCATTTATTCACGCGTGGATGTTGACCGAATTTAACGGCTACTTGGGTTTGTGAACGACAATAAAACTCCCGAAACCCCCAACACAAATTTCAGGTTTAGGGTTTAGGATTTGGGGTTTAGGGATTTAGGACTTATATAGGGTCGCAAAAGGCCTTGTTGGAAAAGCTGGAGGTGTGGTGAACCCTTAAACCCTATGCAGGATCAAGAGACTTTCTCTAGTAGCCTGCTTCGTGCTTCTCCAAATTACTTCTACTTGTAACCTGCGCACTCATCCCCGAAACCATCATAAACCTTGACCCTAAATGACAAATACGGTGGAGTGCAGGATTTGGGAAGTAATGGCCATGTGACGTCAAAACACCAGAAGCTGCACCTCCATGGGTTCTTCTGCAGCCATCCCGTCTTCCTTCTCCTGCTCAGACAGGCCGAAATCGGAAGCACTCGATCGACCCCGAATTGTCAAAGCCTAAATCCTCAAACCCCCATACCCTAAACCTACAACCCTAAACCCTTCCATCCTAAAGCCTTAACTGCTACACCCCATTGCCCTTCAATCCTAAAGCTTCAACCCTTAAACTACCCTTAAACCCTTAAGCCCTTAAGCCCTAAACCCTTAAGCCCGAAACCCCTAAACCCTAAACACCTAAACCTTCAACCCTTAAACCCCTAAGCCCTTGAACCGCTAAACCTCTAAACCCCTAAACCCTATGAACTCCGAGTCGGCAGCCGGAAAGTTGTGTGCCGACAGTGGGAAGCTATCCTGCGTTACCCGTTACCCTACGCGCTGCCTAGATTTCGGTGCAGAGTTTAGGGTTTTAAGGATTTAGGGCTTTGGGTTTTAGGGTTTAGGGGTTTGGGGTTTTGTGTTCTCCTAACTGAACCCTGGTGTTACCTTAGAGGTTTTATAGGATCCAAAAAACGGGTGAAGCACAAAGGAACTACGATGGAGACTATGGGTAGCTCCTCAACCCTAAACACCCTTGTCCTTTTAGGAATAATAGACAGAGCCCTATACCTATATCCCTTGAAAGGAATTATTTAAGAAGGTCTACTAGCAGGTCTGTTTATTCTTTTGGGGGAACCATGAGAAAGGACAAGGCTGACCCTAAAACCATAAATCCAACCCAAGTTCAGTGCAAGCCCGAGAGCTCTTGAGGGCTTTGCCAGGCCTTCAAGGGCCCGCAGACATCTGGGTAGTTCTCTAAACTCGGGTCCCTTTTGGGGTCCTCTTTATAAGGCTAACGTGCTATATACTATATTCGGGATTTAAACAAGGACCCTGATTTAGAGAACGACCCATATTTTTTGGCAGCGACTTTGACGCAGAGAGGGGTTTGAACGGGCTCCGGGAGGCGTCTTTAGCGGCCTTGATCAATGGAATAGCGTTCCACAGCTCCTGATTATACAGTTAAATAGTCCCTAAACCCTAAACCCTAAACCGTTTAAATAACCGTAAACCCTAACACTAACCAGAATACCCCAAAGCACTGTTTTAACTAGTCAGGCGATGTTTACAAGTTTCCCCCAGTTTGGTATGCAAGGACTTCACAAGCCTTCAAAAGCCCTCAATTTTGGGTTTCAGGGTTTAGGGTTTAGGGTTTAGGGTTCAGGGTGATGCCCTTAATCAGCGTACAGATCCTAAATTACATGTGCAGGATTCACCCTACGCACTTCTTTAAGCCCTAAACCCCCCAACCTTAAACCCCGAAACCTCTAATCTTCAATCCCAAACCCTAAACCCTAAACCCTGAACCCTAAACCCTAAACCCAAAACCCTAAACCCTAAGCCCTAAACCCTGAACCCTAAACCCAAAATCCTAAACCCTAAGCCCTTAACCCTAAACCCTAAACCCAGGAACACCAAGCTGTTTTGGGGCCAGTGCTTTGCCTCACCCTCGGGAGCTGGCGCTTTCGCGCCGGCACTGGAGGAATTCCAGGCAAAGCGAACGACCTTGCTTTAGCTTTTAGGGTTCCTTGAAAGGGATCTATAAGGGCTCCTGTAAAGGGATCTGTGAGTTCTTGAAAAGGGATCTATAAGGGTTTCTATAAGAATCCTATAGGGTTCATTTCGGGTAGTTCTCTAAATTAGGGTCCCCCTCCTTCCTTGCTTTACCTTGTTGGCAGCTTTTTGGCTAGGGGTTCGTTTACTTGTTGATACAAGTGTTCGAAAGATTCCGAAATTCTGAAAGGTTTTAGAAGGGTTTAATATCGAGGGTATACACTGAGGTCTTGATAGGATCGAAGGGTTCTAGAACATCTATATACAGGGGTTCCATGAAGGTGCGCTTTGGGCTTCAGGCTCGGAGAGTTTTCGGCTTTGAGGTATGTGGCTGTGTTTGTGTGTGTGTGTGTGTGTGCGCGTTCTGAACATTAGTTAGAAGCTTGCTAAAACCGCCGTTAAGTTTGGATAGAGAACTCCTAGAAAAGGGCCATGAAGTTCAAATGCCATATGTAGTCAGATGCTATGGGTGTAATTGAAAATACTATGGTGAACATCCTCAAAAAGAGCCACTACCGTGCGCAGTTGCTTAACTTTGCAGGGGTCAACCTCGAAACCCTGAATAGGGCCTTAATGCATAGAAACTGGGGGGTGGGGTTAAGTTGTGTGTACTGTGTGTAAATATATATATATATATATATATATATACACATATATATATACACACACATACCACATGACCTGGGACCAGGGTGACCGTGAGCATTGAAAAAGGACGATTTATAACATCGAGATGTCAGGACTAGTTATCCAGACCCCGACATTACGTTCCGAAATGACACCGTCGAAACCGTATACCTGAACCCGAAACTTCAAGCCTTCCAGCCTACGGTTTTGGGTTTTAGGGTTTGGGGTCCAGGGGTTTTGGGGGTTTAGGGTTCACGGGTTTAGGGGTGTAGGCGTACCAGGGTTCAAATTTAGGGCCCCTCGGCTCTAAACAAGACTTGCAAGTATCGCAGCCACAACTTAGGCACCCGCCAAAGCTGTACAGTCGTCCTGACTCTCCTTCTCCCTTGCCCGCTTCACAAGGGCCTGGGAGGTATATGAGTTAAGACTCGTGAATTGGGCTCCGGGTTTGGGATTGAGGATCAAACCCTGGGCATCAACATAGCCCAACAGCCTTACGTAGTATGGTCTTTGGGCCCGGAAACCTCAATATATGAGTCCTTAGATGCCTCGGGAAAGGCTTCAGATTATGCTTTTTGGTACTTCAAGCGGATTCAAGCGGTAGGAGTTTGGGGCTCCGGGGTTGGGGGCTTGATTCGGGAATAAGGTGTTGTCCACATTTGGCCACCTTGGGTGCTTCCCGACGACCCTTTACACCCATCAGTGATGCTTTATCCGGGAATCTAGGTTGGCTTTAGGCTCTCCAGCTTCGGTGCGGGAGGAGGCATGCCAACAGGTCATGTAGTATACGCTGCGTGAAGAGGCTCTTTTCAGGGTCCATGTATCCAGGGAAAACGCCCCGGTTTTGCCTCCGCGGCTTTCTCCTCCGACAAGCCGTCCTGGAGGAATTGCCGCACCAGAGCCACCTCAGCCGGGATCGGTTCAGGGCTTGGGGTTTAGGGGTTTACGGATGTAGGGTTTTAGGGTTTGGGGTTTAAATTAAGGGTTCAGGGTTTATGGGCTTAGGTTTTAGGGGTCCCAAGCGCCTATGTGGAGGATGCTTTCCCAAACCACGGTTGTAGTTCCTACTATAGAAACCCTGCTTGTTACGATGTAGGTACTTAGGACTCTTTGGGTTAGAGATGGTTAGAGAAAGGTAGTGAAAGACGGAACAAGATTTTAGTTTCAAGGAGGATCGGACTGCAGGTGTCGGTGCACCCTCATGCCCTAAGACTCCAAATAGCCTAAAGTAGGCTCCATTATAGACTTTAGACCCCAAAGTAGGTAGTATTTGTATACTTGGAGTCTTCGGGATGAACGTCGAACTCTCAAAGCAAGTTCAGCTCGAGGTTTATCGATGGTGCGAACCGCTCAGTGAACCACGGCACCGAACTCCTGATGCCATGGATTCACAGATGTTAACAGCAGCTATGGGAATGTCTTGCGGAGTAGGACATCTGTGCGCAATAAGCTTTCGTGGCATATGTTGGTATAGCATAATATAATTATTGCAGGTGGTATCCTGAACTACTGAGCCTATCTTGCCCTAAGAAACAACCTGAGGCCCGGTCGGAGTCTTTGTCGGAGAGGACATCCCAAACGCCATCCGTGGCAAGGATGACGAACCTAGGTTTCGCCTTTAGGGGTTTAGGGTTTCGGGTTTATGGACGTGTCGGGATTCTCGGGTTTTAGGGTTCAGGGGTTTTGAGATTTTATAGAAGGGTCTATGAAGCAAGGATGACGAAACTCGAAGAGTCCATAGGTCACTGATAGGGTTAAGGATTAAGGGTTCGACATTGAACCCCAAATCCCACACCCTAGTTCCTAAAGCCTGAACCCCGAACGCCGAAGACAAGCTCGTTGTGGAAGATTGATTTCAGATTCTAGGAATAATTGGGGGGCTGCTTGAGCGGGTTGAACGGATTCAAGCAGGTTTTAAGGAGTTCCTCTGAGCTCTTTTAACTTGAATAGCGGTTTCCTGGCGGCTTCGAGTATCATTGCCGGTGTTCAATACAAACCCTAAACCCTAAACTCTACATGCTAAAGAGTATCAAGGATCCTATGCTGAGGTTGATGAGTTTTACCAGGAGAAAAGCCTGAGGCCCTAAGGCCCTTCTTGGAGGTTCATGGGTAGTTATAAGTATAGATATAAGTCCCCTACTATGCGTTGTAAGTATAGTTACCATACTTATAACCCTCCTGAACCGCCACGTACAACACAGCCAAGCCCTCCTTTTTGAGGCTTACAAGCTTCAGAACCTCAGTAAAATTTAGGGGGGTTTAGGGTTTAGGGAAGCTAATCTTTGCCAAGGCTCTCGTCGGCATCCCAGTCCACCTGTTTCGACGACCCACACCCTACAACTGTAGTTATAAGGTTCCACAGGGGTTTCATAATGTTTGTGTTTCCGGGAATACCGGAACAGAAGGTTCCTTGGGCTTTAGGAACGTTTGATGAAGCCCTGAGCCCCCCCTACCCAAACCCTAAACTGGGTTCTTGTTAAGGAACTTAATTTAAGTTACCATAATAGGGATCTATCGTAAATAACAGGGCTTCCTTATTATGGTAACTTAAATTAAGTTCCTTAACAAGAACCCAGTAAATGTAGTTCAGAGACGCGGGTCGAGCTACAATCAACAGCATTTATGAATGAGGGCATGCGAGTCAGACTGCTTCCACACAGTCTTTCTTTCCAAGCTGTGTCACGCCGTTGGAGACATGCAAGCTCATATACACACATGTTAGTATATCTGTATATATATATATATTATAGATATGTATATCTATCTCTCTCCCTCTCTCTCTTTGTAAGTCCTGTTTATCTATCTCTACAACAATGTACGTATTATATACATGCATAACTGCATCCGGACCCTAGGTTCGCAGGCCAAATCTCGACATCCAAAGCCTAGTAGGGTCGAGTGTCTTATCTTTGCCCAGTGGGCCCAGGTACCGAAAGGGCTTTAAGCCCAATGCCATACTCTGAGTGCTTTTCGGCACCTAAACCCCTACCTTGGACCCTTAGTGTACCCTAAACCCTGAAACTTTTCAACCCTGTATAACCCTAAACCGTAGATCAGCCTGAACGTTATATAACCCCAAACCCTACTGGTTACATCCTGTAGCTCACTTTCGAAATCCTCTCGACGCGGACATCCGAGGCATCGCAAAGTTTCTGATTTGCTAGCAGGCGGGGTTCGGAATTCAGGATGCCTTTAAACCTACCTTTTTCCGAAGCATCTCAGTCTGTCGAGCATCTCAACAATGCCTGCGAGGACTTTGGGACTTAGAGTTTAAGGTTCCGACTCAGGGCAAAAACTCTTTGATACCCTGTGCTCTACTGAAAGCTCCGAAGCAGGGATCCTCATATGGGAGGTTCCGAAAATAGGGGACCCGAATAAAATGGTACCCTAAATAGTCGGATCCTTAATAATATAAGGACCCCAAAATACCGCACCCCCTATTTTGGGAAACTCTCATATGTATTTGGGGACTTCAAACCCTCAATGGGTCGACCTCATGCACGGTGATCTCCGGCTCGGCGCTCACGATGTCGGGGCCTCTTCGCAATGTCGGTTGAAGACGGCCCAGATAAGACTACGACTCGAAGAATACCAATACACCTAAAAGCTTTCAGTTCTAGAATCCTGAACCCTTACGTAACCGCCAGCTAGTGCTATGGTTTCTGATACACCTGCTGTCTACATTGAGCAGGATCTGCGTCGATTTTTTTGCGACTCCGCAACGTCCAACTCATCAGGGGCATGGCTTCTCCATGTCCCAGCAGACGGCAGAGGCATATTGGTCTGCGAACCGCTGGAAAGCAGAAAACGGCTGCCGGCCTCAGAGACAGCTCTGCATCAATCGCTTCATCTTCTGCATGTAGTCTTCTCCACTGTAGGCCCAGCAGTCGGCCGGATGGAGGAACTGATCCAATTCCATGCTGTGAAGGAACCAATGGCATTTGAAAGTGAGCTGAAAGCGGCAATGCTCTTGTCGCAAAAATTCTTTAGTCAGGGCTGACATGCACAACAGCATGCTCAACCGGCAGCTCATGAGAGACGGGAATGAGAGTGCTGCTAACTACCTGGACACCTTTGAAAGGTGCTAGAAGTGTTTACAGGCCTATGTAGCGGCTTGATAGGGTGTCAGTTTAGGGACTCAGCGTAGATTCAGAAATAATTACCCTAAGCTACCAAACCCTAGATTTTTGTAGGTTCTTATTGTGGGGCCCAAAAAACGGAATTTCTGGGGAACCTACAAAAACGTAGGTTTTTGTAGGCCAAGGTATCGTACATTCCTACTGGGACTGCTCCTCGTCGCCTCGGGGAAAGGGGTGCTCATCAGCAGCTACGTTACTTACCTTTGGTTAGTAGGGACTAGAGGAATGGGTTGAGGGTTTAGGGTTTAGGGTTTAGGGTATAGGGTCTAGGGCTTAGGGTTTAGGGTTGGCAGCTACGTTACTTACCTTTGGTTAGTAGGGACTAGAGGAATGGGTTGAGGGTTTAGGGTTTAGGGTATAGGGTTTAGGGTTTAGGGTTGGCAGCTACGCTACTTACCTTTGGTTCCCTAAGGGTCCATGTACCCAAACAGTATACTTTGGCGCCAATGTACCTATATAGGGACTACTTTAAGGCCAATGTATATACTATTTAGGTACATGGACTTTTAGGGGTTAGCTAGCAGGATATGGAGGAATGGGGTACAACTATAACTACTATTGCTACCATTCTTCCATTCCCTACTAACCAAAGGTAAGGTTAGAGTTGCATCAACCCAGAATCAAGTCGTGATCAGCCTTGTGAGGGTATGTCAAAGCCCTACTGCCCAGGAGACTTAGTAAGTAGGTTATAATTAGGGGTTATAATATAGCTGGGGTACCTCCATTTAGGGTACTTGTAACTCTACTTATAACCTACTTGCTAAGTCCCCTGGAACCTCTAAGTACCCAATCCCAAACCCCAACCCTAACCCCATCTAACCCACATAAGCCTACAACCCCTACTCCTAAACCCTAAACCTACACACCCTCTCCTAAACCCTAAACCCTTCCATAAACCTACACCCCCACTCCTACACCCTGAACCCTTCCCGAGGTACCCAGGCCTTTGAAGTCCTTGTCGCCAAAACTCCGCGACACAGCGAGGCCGGCGATCTTGCTCAGAATGCCTGGGCTTAGGGTTTGGGATGTTGACGTTTGGGATTTGGGCATTGGATTTAGGATTCTGGGTTCAGATACGGGCAACGCCTGTAAGAAGAAATGATTCCCAGTAAGAAATTAGACCCTCGCTGAACCCATACCAGACCTAAGAGTAACCTAGGAATAAAAAGGGTGCCCTTTTTGGTTTAAAGGGGGTTATAAGGGAACCTAAACCCTAAAAAAGGGAATAAGGGCCTACTCCGGGTCCTAGCATATGGAGCTCCTACGAGCCTCAACCAGCCCCAGCCCCCAAGCAGCCCAAGCCACGTACCGGTCAGCCCTCTGCCCCTCTTTCGCTGAAGGGAAAGCGGTTTAAGGGTTTAGGGTTTAGGGTTTAGGGTTTAGGGAAAGATTAACCTTAAACCCCAAACCTCCAACCAAGACAAACCTGGACGCTATACTATAATAAGCAAGATCCTGTTTAGGGTTCCCGACTATGATTTCCTTATCTAAGTCCTTCACAAAGTATTTAGGTCATTTGGGGTCCAGGTACAGCCCAAGCACCTGAAGCCTTAGGCACTGGAACCTTGATATCCCAAGACCCGAAAGCGCCCCAAACACCTCAAACTGTTCAAGATGACGCAGTGAACCTGAAGACCTGCTAAAGCCTGACTCCCGAAACCTAAGGTTGGCTCTTGTTAACGAATTCAATTTAAGTTACCATAATAGAGCTCTACAATATATTATATGGTTTCTTCACTATGGTAACTTAATTTAAACCCTAAACCCTAAACCCGAAACCCTAAATCCTAAACCCTAAACCCAATTTAAACTCCTCACCCAGAGCCAAGTAAACTGCCCTTCAAGGTCCTCAGCACTAAGCATTATGTGGAATTACTAGACCCAAGTGTAACCTAGGAACAAAAAGGATGCCCTTTTCGGGTTAAAGGGGGTTATAAGAGAACCTAAACCCATACAAAAGGGACTAAGGGCCTACTCTGGGTCCTAGATTAGGCCTCAAAAGACCATCCTAGTTTGGGGGACCTCATTCCATAATAGAAATATGTATGGACCCTCTTGGTTATACGACCTTATCAACGAAGTCAAAGCTACAAGAAGCCCGACAAGTAGGCTATCTAGGGTCTAGACTAGAGATGTATCCTGCAGAATTCAAACCCTAAACTCTAAACCCTAAACCCTAAATAAACCCTAAACCCTAATTCCAGCTGAGCTCTGCGCGCTTCTTCTGGGGAAGCACTGCCCGCCATATTCCCGCGACTTCCACCACTCCTCCATCGGCAGCCTGATGGTCTGATCCTAGAGGGCTCCTTTAGGGTTTCCTTTAAGGGGTTTAGGGCTCCTTTAAAGTAAGGTTCCTTTACGGGGTTTAGGGTTCCCTGAAGCTTTAACGGGCTTAGGGTTCCTTTACGGATTTCTTTACGGCTTCATAAGGTGTTTAATTGGAAGTTTCCATGATTTTACAGAAGGGCACAACAACTTTCATGGATGCGCAATTCGTTTTGGGGTGTTGTGATGCAATGATGGTTTGCACAAGGTGTCTAGACCTTTGGTAAGCAGGTTATAACTTGAGCTATAAGTACCCTAAACGGAGGTGCCCCAATTACAACCCTACTTACAACCGACTTACTAAGTCCCTTGGGCCTCCAAGTACAGGGTTCTCTGGACTGCGTTTCAAGGCCACCGGGTCAGGGAAAGTTTCTGGGTTTAGGGATAGGGCTCGGGGTTCAAGGTTTAGGGTTTATATAGGGGTTTGGGCTCAGGGTTTCTTGTTCACGTTGTTCCGCCGTTTGGATGCTGGGATCCAAAACCACCGAATATGTGTTGCTCGACGCTTTGGGTCGGGTTACGGGTTTCAGGGATTCAGGGTTTTAGGAGTTAAGGATTCGGGGATCTATTTTACAAGCTACTCCTGACCCATTGCCCATCATTGATCCTTACACGACGCATATAAACCCTCAAAGACTCAAAGGCTATAAAGTCCAGGTTCAAACTGGAAACAGGCTTCCCTGGGATCCAGATGTACAAGTATCAGGCTACTTACCTATGTATAGTATGTGTTAGGCTTTAGGGCTTGGCCACCGCAGCCGAAAAACCTGGAGTTTAGGATGTTGGGATTGAGCAGCTAGGGATTGGGAATGTGTAAACCCTAAACCCTATTTGAACCCTAAACCCTGAAAGGCTAAGGCTGAGGGCATGCTCGTCCTTCCTAGCAGCCGCCTTATGACGCCGCCTGCTCTTACAACTTTTCGAAGCACCATACATAAGGTTTAGGGTTTAGGGTACCCTTCTGAAGCCCTTTCTAAACCCACCTGAGCCCTCAACCCCGAGCCCCAAAAAGAAACCTCAGGCCCCAGAATCCCAACCCTTGACGCCGCTACACCGAAGCTCTTGACCTACTTGTCGGGCATCATGGGGAACGAAGGGTTAACCTTTTTGGTGATATACGGGTTATATAGGCACTATACTACCCAAAAAAGGTTGAAGGTTACCTACTCTACTACTAAGTTCAGCACCAAGTAGCAGAACACTCAAGCCCTAAACTCAGAAACTCTGAACCCCTACACCCTAAACCCCTAAGCCCTAAAGCCTGAACCCTAAACCTCACGCTAGGAACTCAGGAGTCCGACGCTGAAAGAGTGAAAATCGCCTCGATTCGCTTCTTCTCTGCTGGCAAATTGGGCTTGTGGTCCTTCCCCCAAGGGTTGATAGGGTTTGGGTTCCATGAAGGGCTTAGTTTTGAAAGTTATTTTCGCAGGATCCAAGTACCGAATATTCGTATACTCTCCAAAATCCTAACCTACTATATTAGGGTCCCCTAGTTTCGGAAACGCCCATATACTCTCTAAAATAGTAACCTACATAACTACTATCCTCAAACCGAGTACCTCGTCATTATGGGGCTTTTTGGACCCTTGGGGTTGATCCTTAGGGTTGCAGAGTGCTTTGGGGTTGAGGGTTTAGGGTCACCCTACACCCTAAGGCTGAGCGGGTTTCAGAGTTTCCAGGTCTTAGGCATATGCGGCATATGTGCGAAGGATTTCAGGTCTTATAATCTGCGACTTCCATGGCTTTGGGACATCAGTTGCTTCTGTTGCTGTCTTGGATTGCTGGTGTCGGGGCAGGGTGAAGTCTCTTCCTGGCTTTTGATGATACTGAAAATGCTGACCTTAGAGGCACTTATGGAAGGCTCTTGCTGGCCTCGGATGGCAGACGACTTTTGGATGCGCCGGGTTGACGGCCCTACTAGCCCAAAGGGTCCATGTACCCAGATGTACCTTTCTAGGGACTGCTTTCGGGCCAGTAATACCTATTTCGGAACTGCTTTAGGGCCAGAGTATTTGTTATTTGGGTAACTGGACCTTCGGGTAGACGGTACCTTTCGCACTTTCGATCTCGGCTTGTGGGTGTCCTCGGTCAGACGCACAGCCGTGCCACCGCCGGTGCCTGCAGCGACTACCAAGCTCGGCTGGATCTTCTGAATACGGGTAGTACTCCAAATTAAGGCCTACCCATATGACGCATATGGGTGGTTGTCAAAATTATGGTCCTTTCTGGGTCCCTATTATAGTATATACGGCACACGCCTATGGGTGGTTGTCAAAGTTATGGCCCCTTTTTGGGTACCCCAAATAATAGGTACCAAAAAGGGACCATAATTTTGACAACCACCCATATGTTTGTGTCGGAGAGGTGGGGAATGAAAGTACAGTTTCCAGAGGGGCTAAGCGGGGATGTGATTACTGATTGTGCGAACTACATTTAACACACGAAGGCACAGGGACTACAATTTCTTAATCAGGCTAAAGCTACGACCCGAACTAGAGTACCTATGGCCCGAAGTATAACCTGCTCCCGCAGTCCCCTGATCCTTCGGGCGAGCACCTGCTCCTTGAAACGGGATCCTCAACTTATAATACCCCCCTCCTGAAACCATGTGAGAGTGTTCAAAATCAGGAATGCTCTCCTCCATAAACACGTACAAAAAAGTCTGAAATGGCCACGAGACAGTGGAGTCTAAGGGAGGGGAAGAAAGCCCAAGTCCTAAACACTGAAGCCCTGAACCCGAAACCCTAAACGCTGAATCCCTAAACCCTCAACCCTAAACCCCTAAACCCTAAACTTTAAACCCCTAAACCCTGATTCCCTAAACCCTAAATCCCTAAACCAACCCGAAACCCTAAACCCCGAATCCCTAAACCCGGACTCAGGGTTTTCTCACTCTGCTCCCGGTCTAAAAACCAGGTGTGGGGTTGCAGTATACCTCCCTATCTACTGAAAACGTAACCTCGAATTTCCAAGCCCCTTGGTAACATTTGCGGCTTAGGGTCTAGGGTTTTTACCCTATACGGGTCCATGTACTCAAATAGTTTGGCCTAGTTGCTCCATATATAGGTACTTTGAGCTACAATATATATATATATATATATACATACATGTGCTGTTTGCGCACACGGACTTTTAGGGTAAGGCTTTCGCTTGCAGCGGGAGTTGTCTGAGGCCAGCTCACAGCACCGCCCGAGAATCCCCACCTTAGCACAGGTGGCGAAATCGGCCGTCGCCCTTGTGTTTGGGGTTTAGGGGTTTAGGGGTTTATTGGCTTAGGGGGTTGGGGGTTTAGGTTCAAGGCTCGGGGTTTGGTTTTTTTTTTTTAAGCGCCCCTTTTTCGACCAGGGGTTTAGGGTTTAGGGTTTAGTGTTTATAAGGGTTCAGGGTTCACCGCTGCCTTAAGGCCCCAAACATTGTAGTGAAGGTCCCAAGGTCGAACGGCTAAAGACCAGTGCCCTGGCCCCAAAGACCCAAAAGCCGAGAAGCTCTGCCTTCACCCTGAATAACCTACCTTTCTAGGGTTTAGGGATTTAGGGTTTAGGGTATACCTTCATTAAACCTGAATAACCCCTACCTTGTTAGGGCTCCTCATTATGAGTTCCTTGTATAAGTCCTTTTAAGAAGGTAGGTTGCGTTCGGGGTTAAGGTGCACCCTACGTTCCCAACCCTGAGCCAGCTAAAGAGGGCCTCTTCTAAGGGTCCTAAAAGAGACTCTAATATTCCTTGAATGAAGGAATATACCTGAAGTTATAGTAGGATCCGTAATATGATTTAAGGAATCTAATATCCCTTAATCAAGGAGTATACCTTTAAGTTATAGTAAGATCCATATTATGACTTAAGGAATATGTTCCTTGATTTATATGGGGATATTGGAGTCCCTGGGTCGCAGGATTCAGGGGGCAGATTTGACGGTGGGATACTTGGGCTTCTTGCAGCTCCATGGCTACGAGTTCAATCTAGGAGCCTTAGTAATTCGAAGAAGGTTATTCTGAGTTCTTGCTGAGGGCTTTTAATATTTAAGTTACCACACTAGGGATCAGTAGTAAATAAAACGGCTTCCTGACTATGGTATCTTCAAACTGAATCCCGTCACAAGAACCCAGTATCTTGGGATATCATAGCATGCCCCTCAATTGATTCTGAAATTTCTGTTAGGGTCATCTACATGAAACCTTAGGTTTTTGATAATCAGCCCTGTTCCTCTTCTACCCAGGTCCAAACGGGTGCAAATGCGTAAGAATCATACTCCCCCAAGACATTACATCTATGGGTTTAAGGTTTAAGGTTTACAAACCTAAACCCCACCAGGACCTGAGACTTAGGTACTTTATGGTACTTCGATACTTTGGAGCATCTATGGGTTTAGGGTTTACAATCCTAAACTACTTTGGACCGCCAGGGAGTCGCTAGAATCTCGAAACACTTCTGGGATACCCGGCAGTTGGCCATGAACAGCCGCAGCCGCATCTGCTCATCAGGACCGAAGACAGTCATGGTGCAGGCCTCCGGCTGGAAGGCGATCCTCTAAGGGATACTAAAAGTTACCGTGTACCTTATTTTGGGGTCCTTGTAATAAGGATCCTACTATTCAGGGTACTACTGTATATTAGGGTCCCCCATTTTCGGAAACTCCCATCTAACAAGTCTCCTTCTGATGGGAGGCCAAAAGCGGGGGGTTTAAGATTCTTGGGGTAGGGATTCCTTAATACGAACCCGATTATGGGAACCCCAAACCCCCATAGGCTAAAACCCCTTTTGGCCTCCTATGAGTCTGGAAGGCGATCCTCTAAGGGAAACCAAAAGTTACCGTGTACATACCTACAAGAGAAGGACCTAGAAGGGTACAGGTTACTTGAAGAAAGTAATTAGGCTTTCAGATGGTTCTAGGGTTTGGGGTGTAGGGTTGATTAAACTGAAAGCAGAGACTTAGCAAGATGCAGTGAGTGCATTTTCTATACTGCAGGCAATGCTGACGCCCCAACTGCGCCAAACCTACCCAGGTAGGTAGTTAGCATGGCTATACCTTCTGCAGTACCTCGGAGATGCGTGTACAGCTGACTGGGCGGGCAACTAACCTAGATCACACTCGGCCGGCATAGGTCCTAGCCCTTAAACCCCGAAAAGAAGCAAACCCCTTAAATCCCTGAAACTGATAAGCCACGAAGTTTGTTTTCTCAAGGCCCCGGCAGTGCTGCCCGAGCTGTCGTCAGTCTTCTTGGCATGCCTTGGGTCAGGGTTCGAGATTTAGGGCAGGGTGTACGGGTTTCAAGGTCCCAGTCTTAGCGGGCCCAGTAGTTCGGGTTTGGCGTTTAGGAGTTGGTGTCTGGGGTCTTTTATAGGGTTCGCGGTTTGGGAGATAGGTTCATGGTATAGGGTGCACGGCCGCGGCCATTGAGCTGTCAGGTCCGAACAGCTTTGAAAGGACCTGATCCTGCGGTGCTGAAGAGTCAAGGGCTGCACCCGCTGGGGCGAGAGACAGGAGTGATTGCAATCACCACCGTCATCACTGGTGCCTGGTGCCAGAAGGGGAGGCAAACACAACTGCATCATCTCTCCAAGCTTCATCAATGGAGTCGCGGAGCACTTCCTATTCACAGTAGGGCTGCACGCTGAACGGCGGACTGCTCTCCACTGAAACCTTGTCATTGTCGATGGAGGTGAGGCGAACCAGGCTCGCCAAACATCCCCAACCCAGTGAGTCCAGGGTAGATTGCCAGCTAGGCGAGTCCAGCGTCTGCCTGTTTCCGACAGAATCCAGTCATGCCGTCCGCTCGACTTGGATAACTTCTTATGGCTAGGATCCTGTGATACATAAGCAAAGATAGCAAACATAATCTACAAAACCACTAAGCAGCTCAGGAAGCTGCATATGTAAGTACACCCAGCAGCTGTTTCTGCAACTTACTCGCCTCATCTGCCATGTTAACACCACTGTCCGTCCAAAAATCAAAACTAAACACCTAGCTAAACCCTAAACTCTAATATAAACCCTAAAACCTAGACCCTAGGATAAACCCAAGGCGCCATTATAAACCACCCGGAGTCTTAAGCTAAATGCCCGAACCGCCCCAGCTGGAGAACCTCCCTTCAAAAACCGGACCATACCCTAGCCTTATGTAGAGGCGCAATAAGATCTGTAGTAGTTTGTTTGTGTTCCACGGGTGCACCGGAATTTTACGTACAGCTGGGGTTTAGGGATTCCTTTATGATTTGGGGGCATTCGTACCGTGAGCCTACGTACAAGCCAGTAAGTTTTGGTAGGTTCAGGTACATTGTAATTGTATACCATAGCAGTGCCAGCGGCTGAAGGAAGTTGTGCTCGGTCTGCTTGAAGCCGGCGGCAATAGCAGTCTTCACGGCAACCTCTGCTTTTGGGGTTGAGGCTTCAGGGTTTAGGGTTTAGGATCATGAATTCACGGGATCCCTAAATCCTGATATTGGTACGAGTTGCACTACCTGCTCGCGTATGTGGGCATTTCTTCACGATAGCTTAGCCAAAGCTCTCAGTGTTGGGATGAGGCTCAGGGTTTGCAGATAAATACAGAATCGAAGCCGTCATAACCACACTCTTGTTGTTGCCAATGCAAAAACAATTTACAACAAAAAACACCAGCAATACTGGCAGTAGTTTACAAAAACCACGTCGAGGACTTACTTTCTGTGGTCTTGCTTTTGAGGCTTCATCTCCCCGGTGAGATGTAAGCCGGCCACAGCGAGAGCAGCGGAATCTCTGTGCGCACCATCATTAGTCAAATCCTGCTGTACCCTGAGCGTAGGAATGCCATGGTTGTACGACACAATGGGAATACTTAGAGGCTCAGGGGACTTAGTAAGTCGGTTATAAGTAACAGTAGGGTTATAATTGAGGTGACTCCATTTATTAGGGCACTTATAACCCTACCGAAAATCTACTTACTGAGTCCCCTGGGCCTCTTCGTAGAACCTTACTCAGAGCTTCCTGAACTCATTATGTCGCAAATGAACTGCGGTATGTAATTGACACTTTTAGGGAACTCGAAAGCGCACCTCGTCACTCACGTTCGTGGCTCGGTCCCTGAGGCGTGCCAAGATGTTCTTGGCCAAGTGGGTGGACTCGGTGGCAAGGGGTTTCAGATCTGCTTCACAAGGGATTCAGGGCCTACCCATAGTCTCCATTGCAGTTCCTTTTTGGGGTTACCTTGTAGGATCCTTAATATATAATTGGTTAAACCAAAAAAAGGAACTGCAATGGAGACTATAGGTAGGGTTCTGAGATGTTCTGAGTTTATGGACAGAAACACACGAGGAAGGAGATTCCAGTTCATAGTGCCTGCAAGATTTATCGGGGACAGGGTTGTGTAGGGGCTTAAGCGTTCAAGCAGGGTTTTATGACGATGGCGCGGGGTTTTGAACCAAAACTTCACATGTGGCCATTAAGCGTATAAGCTCCTATCAGGCATAAGTGAGGTGTACCACTTCCGGGGTCGACTCAGCGATCACGCGCTCCCCTCAACAAATCTAGCCTGGAAATTTGGAAGGCTAAGGGTTTAGCGAAAAGGCCACAACAAGCTACCCTAAGGCTCCAAAACAGTTCCTTTTGGGGGTTCATATATAGAATTATAGAACCCGATAACGTAATCCCAAAAATGAACTACTATGGAGCCTCTGGGTAAAGCTAAACCCCGAACCCTAAAGCCTGCAATGCTATGCCGCACAGCGGGAAACATTCTACATCCGAGACACCGCATTCAGCGGATAGTCTTTGGAACTTGAAACCCCGCTACTCTTTGGGTACTTGAACCCTCCAGGTTCAACCGCTACATCCAGGGCACCACATGCTCTGCACAGTACCCTAAACCCTAAACCCTGATTCAAGGCACCACGCGCTCTGCACAGTACCCTCAACTCTAAACCTAAACCCTAAACTTCAGTTCTACAGATTGAGTATTATAACTGTTCTAAACAAACTCTCAGAATACCTGGAATCCATCCATCTTTATCGGGTTTGGATTGTTGGATCCAAGGCACCACATGCTCTGCACAGTACGGACCACCATGCCCATCGAAGACCGCATGGAAGACGCAAGTCGCCGTCTCGCCAAGCCTGGGTTTAGGGTGTACCCAGAGGGTCGGGGAGGTAGTAAGTAGGTAGTAAGTAGACTTATAAGTACCCTAAAAGGGACCCTAATTGGGGTTATGGTACTTGTAAGTCCCTAAAATAACTACTTACTAAGTCCCCCGACCCTCCAAGTAGGGTTTACCCAGAGGGTCGGGGGTTTAGGATTTAGGGCCCAGTGTTTAGGGTTTAGGGTCTATATATACTACCTAAATTAAGGAATGAGGTCCCAAAACAAAACCCCTATTATGGTTTCGGGGACCTAATTTCATAGTAGTAGTAAATTATGGACCCTCTTGGCTTCCGAAGGGTTTCGGGTTCTACGACGAGTTCTGCCGGTTCCCAAGGGGGAACCAGGGAAACGAACCCCCGACCTTGTCCTCCACATTTACGGCCCCAAAAAAGCACATAAGCAAAAATAAGGATAGGGATATCCCACATAGACCCCCTTATAATGAAGCTCGATAAGGTAGGGATATCCCTTCAAAATGCTTATGCTTATGTGCTGTTGGGGTCACTAATTCTGAAGCCTAAACTCCGAAACGGTTTCCAGTAAAGGCCTTAATGACTAGAATAGGGTTTTGGGCTCCTTTGTAGTATGTAGAACTTTAATTGGGAACCCTAAGGACAAAATACTGATAACTATTTAAGCTTCTATATGAAATACATACACACTAACAGCTCCAGTCCTGAAAACTCTCGGAAGCCCTCGAAGAGGGTATCAGGAAACCCCAAAATAGTATAGGTCATTATTAAGGCCTCTACATTATACACCAACACCTCAAGTCCTGGTAAACTATCGGAAGCCCCCCGAAAATTGGGGCTCTTGTTGAGGGGCTCAATTTTGAGTTACCATTATAAGGAAACCACATTACCTACAATAGTCTTCCTTTATGGCAACTTAAGTCAACTCCCTTACCCCCCAAAGCCTAAACCCTGGAACCCTTATAATTCCTTTAAATTATGGTAACTTAAACTAAATCCCTTAACAAGAACCCGGAATGAGGGGCTGGCACGTTGATCGGCAACTTGAGCTTGTCGACCAGGAAATCTTCAATGCTCTCCTTCCCTTGCAAGGACCGCTGTTGCGGCTTTAAGGTTATGAGGCTTTAGGGTTTCGGGCTTAGGATTTTGAAGTTTAGGGCTTGTGTTCCTTTCTGTGTGTCTACTTCTTTTCAGACCAATCAGGGCTTGTTGAAAGTCTAGGGTTTGGAGATTTTGCCGTCAGCGTTCATGCCTGCCATATTTGGCATGGGGCTTTAGGGCTATGGTAGGGTTTGCGAGTTTGGGCATTCAAGGCTGCAGGGAAGGATTTGCATGGGCGTCGCGTGCCTGCCGCCTTGTCCTGGCAGAAGCCACACCTGGCGAAGGCACTAACCCAAACCTCTTCGCAACCAGTAAACCGTAAACCCTAAACCCTTAAAACCCGCTTCTTTAGAAGCCCATTTCAGGTGGGTAGTTCCTCTTCCATAGTACTCCCATAAGACCCCTTTACCTTATAGGAGTGGTATGGAAGGCTTATGGGAGACTACCCACCTTAAAACTACCCACCTGTAGATGGCTTAGATTCTTTAGGGTTTAGGGGAAGCTTCGGGGTCGCAACGCAAAGGCAAACCCCAAAGCCCTAAGGCCGTAAGCGCTAAGATCCTCCATTCAATCTCCATGATGTCGGGACCTAAATAACTAGACTAGGGTTTGGGGATATCCACACGGTATATAATCAGCAGCCCTGCGGAATACCATTGCCCCAGGGCCTGGCTAGGAGGGCTGAAGTGACTAGTAATTCATACTAATCGCTTCAAACCAGTTAGACAGCAGCGATGCATAGAGACGGATAGGGAATAAGATCTTCTGGATTTCGGGTCGAGGGCTTAGGGTTTGAGGTTTGGGACTTGGGGTCTAGGGCTAGGGATTTGGGGTTTGAGGTTTAGGGTTGGTGTACAATTGGGGTTCATGAAGCTTGCCGCAGAAAGAGCTCAAAGCTGCATAATTTACCCTGTACAGTAGTGGCTACCATGACCGCTGGGAAAAGATGTTGGTGGCTTTTCGTACTTCTGACACGTTCAGAAGCTAGACTTTCGGACGGTGCATGCGGAAGTCTTCTAAACCCAAACCTGTGGGCTTCTGGTGTGGCGCAGGGATTGCTTACCCAGAAATTAGACAGATGCGTCTCTGTACTTGTTTGCAACCTTTCAAAGAGTATCACTGGGACCTCAAAATTCCAACATTGGCCCCAAAAACATCAGGGTTCCCTGTTATGATTTTTGTCTATGGCCTTTTATAGCAGCGTAAAGCGGCGGGTTTCGTGTGTTCACGAAACCCTCACCCATAAAAACCCTGAAACCGTAGACTCGTAGACCCAAGTCTTGGAACTAGAAGTGATGGACAAGGAATGCCCAAACAGGCTAACGGCTCTCTACCCAACCTATCAACCCTTAACCCTGAACCCTAAAACCCCTGGACTCTGGACCTGTACCCAGTCCCCCGTAACCCTGAACCCTAAAACCCTGGACTCTGGACCTGTACCCAGCCCCTTAAACCTAAACCCTACACTTTCACTCCAAAAAACCTAGAACCAAAACTCCACACTAGCCAGCCCCTTAACCCTAAACTCCTGCAGGCCCATGCTCTAAACCGCTCAACCCCTAAACCCTAAATCCCTAAAAGCCTAGAACCGAAACCCTGAACCCTGAAACCTAGGCCCTAAATCCTCAATCCCTAAGAGCCTAACACCGACACCCGGGACCTAAGCCCTAAATCCGTTAATTAATCCCTAAAACCCTAAAGCCTAAACCTTGAACCCGAAGCCGTTCTCCGAGTTCCCTGGCTTCAGATCTTCCTCGACGTCGACCTCCACCGAAGAGGCCTTCTGCATGCAGGAGGGAGGGCGGGAGGGTTAGGGTTTAAGGCTTAGAGTTTAGGGTTTAAGGCTTAAGGTTTATAGGGCTTTAAGGTGTAGGGTTTAAGGCTTAGAGTTCAAGGTTAATGAGGACAGGTCTTCCATATTTGGCAAGATTCACAGATCCATTGAAGGAAATCAACTGCATGCAGTCTCCCTTGAGTTGAAGCATGAGGGTTTCCGAAACTAGGACACCCTTATGTGGCACCCTAAATAGTAGGATCCTTATTTTTAAGGACCCCCTAAGACGGTACCCTAGTTTTTGGAAACTCCCACATGGGAAGTCCCAATGGGTCCTTCCCAGCAGCTTACTAAGTCCCCTGGCTCTCGGTTTCGATATTGACGACCGCATGCACAACCGTGACAATGGCACGCTCTTGTCTTCCAAAGCAACCTGAGCAAGTCGAGTATATGGGAGTTTCCGAAAATTGGGTGTACCTTTTTTGGAGGTCATTATGATAAGGATCCTACTATTTAGGGTACTATATTTCGGTCTCTTATTTTCGGAAACTCCCATATACAGGACCCGCACCCAGGCTTTGTAGATGGCGCGCAGTTCAGTTGTAGGGCTTTAGGGCTTTTAGGGCTTCAGGGTGTAGGGCTTAGGTTTTAGGGTTTAAGGTTTTAGGGCTTTAGGGTTTAGGGCTTAGGGTTTAGGGTTTAAGGTTTTAGGGCTTTAGGGTTTAGGGCTTAGGTTTTAGGGTTTAAGGTTTTAGGGCTTTAGGGTTTAGGGCTTAGGTTTTAGGGTTTAAGGTTTTAGGGCTTTAGGTTTAGGCTTACTCGGGTTTATTGCCTGGGGGGGGAGGTCTCCTATTCTTACAGCTTTCAATTCGGGTAACCTGGACCCAACAGTGTGTGCGCAAAACAAACACCAATTACAGGTTGTTGTGCCAGTATGTTACTTAGTCTTGGGGGTTGAGTAGGTTTAGCGTTTAGACATTATAGTTAAGGGATCATAGCCTACTATTTTGTTGGGTTTGGAGCTGCAGGTGGAGTAAAAGCCACACCAAACCCCCAACATCAATTGAACAAAACCCTAAAACACCAAAACCTTAAGACCGAAAAGTGCTTAAGCCCACAGGAACCCTGAACCCTAAAACCTGAATCACGCTTAACCTTAAATCACCCTAAACCCCAAACAAGGGTTTAGGGTTGATCCCGTCCCCCCTCGCTTGCCTCGGAGCCTAGGTTGCCAACAAAAACCTCTGATGGGAGGCCAAAAGGGAGGTGTAAGATACTTGGGGTAGGGATTCCTTAATATGAACCCTATGATGGGAACCCTAATCCCTACTAAACCCCCATAGGCTAAAAGTTATAAGTCCCCTAATATATGAGTTATAAGTATAGTTACCCTACTTATAACCCTACCTATAACCATCCATGAACCTTCAAGTAGGTCCCTAAACCCTATACCCTTACAGAATCCCTATAGACCCCTTTAAAGGGACCCTTAGAGGAACCCTTATGAAGCTGCCAGGTTCTTTCAAAAACCTCGCTTGCCTCGGAGCCTTCGCCATCTTCTGCCTCTGGCTCCTGCTCCGCGGGCTCCTGAAGTTCATTACCCTAAGACCCAGAGAGCCCAATACCCCTTAATTAAGGAATATAGCTTAAATCATCATATCAAGGCCTATATAATTCCTTAATTAAGGGGTATTGGGCTCTCTGGGGACTCCATGTGCCCATAGAGAAGGTACTTAGGCCCTAAAGGGGTCCCTATATGGGTACTTTAAGGTCTAAGTACCTACTATATGGGAGTTTCCGAAAATAAGCGACCCTAATATAGTACCCTAAATAGTAGGATCCTTATTATAAGGACCCCAAAATAAGGTACCCCCGCTTTTCGGAAACTCCCATATGGGTACACGGAGCCTTTGGGTTAAGGTTTGATCTAGAGGGCCTCTCTGGCCCTTTAAGGGTTTCCTAAGGGGCCTGAGGGGTTCCTTTAAGGCCCCCAAAAAAGGGCCCTCAAAGGGCCGTTTAAGGGTTCCTTTAAGGCCCCCAGAAAGGGCCCTTCAAGGGCCCTTTAAGGGTTCCTTTAAGGCCTCTTAGGGGTTCCTTTCAGGGCCCCGCTAAGGGTTTAGTTAAGGGAAAGTCGAAAGGGTGGCACGCGTGTGATTGGGGTTTGATATCGGGCCCTCGAATGGGGTTCGATCAGGGCTTGTTTAACGAATGTTGTGTTTTTATATTGGTTCTAGGTATACAAATTTTGGAATTGGGGCATACAACGGCCTGTAAGGCATGAAGATGTTCCGAACTATGATTACTACGACCGCTATGATTACCAATATGGTTACTCTTACCACCCTTGTTCCTATTACAGTTTTTACTAGCATCACCAAGGTTCCGGGGATTGAATATTAAGGGATATGGCTTCCCGAGGTTTGGGCTCAGGTTAGGCCCTAAAAGCTGTGCAAAACCGAATCCTGCAATTTGGGTTTCAGGTTTACGTTGTTGTGAACGAGGTTGTAGGATATTGACGCGGTGTGCATCTAGGATTAAAAGGTGTTGGGAGTTTGGGCTTAATTGTTTACAGTCCTGGGCATCTGGTTTTGAATTTTCTATATTGTATGATCTTGGAAGGCAGTGATAAGGCTTTGGGGTTCAGGGTATAGGATTCTTGGCAAGGTTTTTGGGCTCGTGATGTCGGGCAATTGTAGATCTTTCTGAAGTCAGTTTGGGATTTGATGGGCTGAGCGTCCTGAACACAAAGTTTGAGGTATAGGGCTAGATAAGTTGCAAGTACATTCACGGGGCCCCGCTGAACACCACAGAATGCATAGGCGGTCCGGGCAGGTGCGGACGCTGACAGCGCATATTCGGCCATTGTCCGTCTGACCTCGGAGATATCTCATACTGCTTGGGCCTAGCCATAGGCTCCATAATAGTTAAGGATTACCTTACCTAGAACTCTAAGTATACAACTAGTACCTACTTTGGGGTCTAAAGTCTAGAAATACTGCCTGCTTTGGGCTTTTCGGAGCCCCAGTATATGTGATTCTATGGATGAACCACAGAAAAGGAACTACTGTGGAGCCTCAAGGTAAGGTTGTCGTCAGAGACTGAGCCTACTAATCTTGAGCCGGATATGCAACGACAGATACCCCAAGGGTCCAAAGGACCCTATAATCAGGTGCTCGGTTTTAGGATAGTACTTACGTAGGTTAAGATGCTGGGGAGTATATATGATTATTAGGTACTTGGACCCTTGGGGTACCAACGAATACATCAATACAACCACAAGCATGAAGAAGCAAGTACAAACCACGCCAAAACGCACTCGCTCGCTCCCTGTACATATCTATCTATCTATCTATCTATCTATCTATGTCTTTGGCGGGTTGTCAAAATTACGGTCCCTCTGTGGGTCCTTATTGTAATACGGCACCTAATATTTAGGGTACCCAGAAGGGAACCATAATTTTGACAACCACCCATATTGAATTGGAACAGGAGGTCTGACAGGGCCGAACCTGTTCGGATGTCGGAATGTGGGCGCTTCAGGTTGTGGGTGTGGAAGGTTTAGGGGAACATGTGGGAGTTTCCGAAAATGGGGAGGTGGTTACCTTATTTTGGGGTCCTTATAAGAAGGATCCTACGATTTAGGGTACTATACTAGGGTCCCCTAAAGTTTTCGGAAACTCCCATGTCGATCTCCATTTGGCTAAGTGACGCTCAGGGTTTGGGGTTTGGCGCATGGGACACTCTCCGATTTCCAGGTTGGGTTTAGGGGTGCTTCTGCTTCAAATTTCAGGGTGTAGGGCCCTTAGGCCGTGCTAATCCTTCTGGGCCCTCAAAGCGGTCTCTGTTTCCGAAGACCGCTCCTCCATGAAGGTTTGCAAAGCTTGCCAGAACTTGACGTCCTTTGCATCGATAGTAGGCCGGTTGGTGTGTACTGCCGACATGTCATGTGGGGGTTTCCGAAAATAGGGGACCCTAACATAGTACCCTAAATAGTAAGATCCTTATTATAGGGACCCCAAAATACAGTACCCCTACTTTCGGAAACTTCCATGTGTCGCTGCGCGAACTGTTGACACCAAGCAGCCTCCGGCCATCCCAGGCCAGCATTTCATATAGTCCAGGGATCGAGGTTTCCACCGTATCTCTGGGGAAGGCATAGTCTGCGCTTAGAGGCCCAGGGGACTTAGTAAGTAGGTTATTAGTAGGGTTATAAGTACCCTAAATGGAGTTACCCCAATTATAACCCTACTTATAACCGACTTACTAAGTCCCCCGGGCCTTCAAGTATGTTTTGGAGCTTAACTGTTAAGTCCTTGGGTTTAGCGCAAACCCGTAACATCCAGGCAAGAGTCGATGAAAACTTCTGAAAGGCCCGAACCCTAGACCCCACGCCCCGAACCGTGAACCCGTGATCCTTAACCCGAAAAGCACCAAAAACCCTGCACCCAAATCCCTGAACCTACAACCGAAAAGTCTTACAAAAACAGACCCAGGTCTGATGGGAGGCCAAAAGGGAGGTGTAAGATACTTGGGGTAGGGATTCCTTAATATGAACCCTATGATGGGAACCCTAATCCCTACTAAACCCCCACAGGCTAAAAGTTATAAGTCCCCTAATATATGAGTTATAAGTATAGTTACCGTACTTATAACCCTACTTATAACCACCCATGAACCTTCAAGTAGGTCCCTAAACCCTATGCCCTTATAGAATCCCTATAGACCCCTTTAAAAACCCTTTTTTGGCCTCCTATGAAGGTCATCCCAAGGCCCCTCACCCTCGTCTGAGCCAGCGGCCCAAGTGGTATGACACAAACTGTTCAGCCTGACTCAGCTTAGGGTTTAGGGTTTAGGGTTTTGGGACAGCCACGGTTCCGGTTGAGGGCTTCATGAAGATGCCATGTAGGGTTTAGGGGCCAGATGTTTAGGTTTCCAAGCCTGCGAGCTTCGGGGTGTTGAAGGCTGTGCGGCGTAGGCTTCCGTATTCTTGGTGGCTCTTTGATTGTCCGCCTCGCTCACTTTGGAAGTTTTCACGATTAGGGGCGCCAGGATGAAGTGAAATTCCCAAGTTTTGGACGCTTAAGAAACCCCAACAAAGGTCTCAGACGTCCCTAGAAAGCACTTACAGGATCCTTGTAAAACTTCACAGAGACCTATAGCCGTTTTTTTTAAGTTTCCCGAAACATTGGGGGCCCCTAAACACAGAACTCACAAAGTAGGATCCTTATTACAACCTGAACCCTTTACCATGTCCACAAAGCCTTTGTGGAGTCCTTGGAGACATCCTGCCGCTTGGAGCAACTAAGGATCCCATTGAGGGATTGCTGCTTTTCTTCAACTCGCCTGATTATGGAGGCGCTTTATCATACTACAAGTAAGAGAACATGGGAGTTTCCGCATATAGAGGACCCTAGTATATATAGTACACGAAGTAGTACGATCCTTACTATAAGGACCCCAAAATAAGGTACCCCCAATTTTGGAAAACTTAAATATTACAAGAAAGAGAATATGAGGTGCATGGTGCAGAGCCTCTAATGCCGCGAAGACCTCGGCTGCTGCAGCATCCTGGTTCACCGCTGTCAAGGAACTTTGTGAGGTCTCGGGCAGACGATTCCGGGCTTCGTGGTTGAAGGTTCGAGACGTGGGCATCCATCAATACCGTCATAACCCCTATAGGCCCTAACCATCATCACCACGACCGCAACGATCATTTAATCACATCTCCGTCATCATCACCACCATCATCATGACCATCATTACCACCATCCTTGTCATCAGCATCATCGCTATCATCAGCTGCATGCTCATCATGATCATCACCATCATCTTCGTTGTCATAGTCATCAGCCCCGTCAGCAGCAGCAGCAGCAGCAGCAGCAGCAGCAGCAGCAGCAGCAGCAGCAGCAGCAGCAGCAGCAGCAGCCCTTGCCTTTTGCGGACTGCTCCCAGGATTCCTTTTCCTTCACAAGGCCATTCGTCACTGGACTTCCTCCTCAATTTGGCTGTCTTTCCAAGCCTTCACCTCTGCCTCCGATTGCATCCACTGTCCTGAGTTTTTTTGTAAATGTCGGTACATGCATTCCAGAGCTCCCTGCCCTTGCACGGCGGCGGATTCTGAACTCTTCCCGTGGGGTCGCCCTTGCCGCCGAAGTCGCGGCATTTAGCTCTGTAGATTTGAAGTCCACGAAGGAACTCCCAAGTCCATCCACGTTTCGTGAATGTTGCGATCTGTGACTTTGTCTTCGGCTCCTTCTCCTCCGTGTACTGTAGCTTGCGCCTTCCGACTCTTCTTCCCGGTCATCACCAGCAGCCCCATTCGAATCCTAATCGACGACAAGAACACCCAGCAAACTAGAACAGGGATCGAGTACTTGGGGGTTTAGGTTTCTCTGCCAATGACAACCCTTGACTGGGTTCTTGTTAAGCGGTTTAATTTAAGTTGGCAGAATATCTATTGTACAGGTCCCTTATCATGGTAAATAAAATGCCTTGGCAAGAACTAATCAAGGCCAAAATCCCTGAGTCCTATGGCCACGATAGACAAAGTCCCAAGCCCGCCATGACGAAAACAAGAAGGGCCCCCCAGAGAGTCCTCGGCTTTCTCGGTCTCACCTGCAGTCATTGGACACCCTAAATTCTTACCTCCTGGGGTAAAATCTTCAAACTTTCAGAACAGGACTACCTTATAAGAGCCCCAAGACTTGAAAAGTTGGGTTTTGGACCAGGAAAGGTCGATTTAACGTTGTTTGGGGCTTGGGGCTTCCAGCCTTTAGGGTTTGTTGCGGGCTTTGGCGTTTAGGAATACGAGGGTGTAGAGCTTTGGGGGGTTGGAGGTCTCTGTTCTTACCTATGACAGCGGACTTTCTCCAAAGCGCGGCTGCCAGAGGGGCACACAGGGTTTGAGGTCCAGGCTTCAGAGTAAGGTTCATTGCGAAACTAAGCAATTTCGACTCGGTGCCCAAGGCTGCCTGATAGTCATATACGGGCCTTATTCATTGGAATAGGATTGTGGTGCCCATTATACTATATAGTTCTAATAAGGAACCCCCAAAAGGATATGGGTAATTTAGGCACCAAAAGTATGCTGTAATGATGCTAGTGTTCATTCAGTTTGCTAGCAACCGCATACTTGGTATACCATGCCCGCGACAATGTAGAAATCCACCCAGGCCGTCACATAGCCCTAAACCCTAAACCGCTAAACCCCTTAACGATGGAGCCTTCAGCCACAATCTGGTTCCTGTGCACGAAGAGGTCCTGGCAACTGGAAGTGTTTACCCTTAGACGCTTGGGGCCTCTACGGGATCAACTGATTTAGGGTTTAGGGTTGTCGGCTTTTCCTGCCCCCCAAAACGCCCTAAAGTCCTATAGCAAGGATTCTTGGCCCCTTACCCTAAGACTCCAAGTATACAAATAGTACCTACTCTGGGGTCTAAAAGCTATAAATGGTACCTACTTTGGGCTATTTGGAGTCTTAGGGTTAGGGTAACAGGTCTATACGGGTTCTACATGGGTTAAAGTCGCTGGACCCTGAGGCTGAAAACCTGTGCCCTACTTAGAGGCCCAGGGGACTTAGTAAGTAGGTTGTAAGTCATAAGTCTGGCAGGTCATAAGTACCCTAAATGGAGTTACCCCAGTTATAACCCTACTTATAACCTACTTACTAAGTCCCCTGGGCGTCCAAGTAGACCCTACCTGGACCCTCTGAAATCGTGCTTTCTTGGGTTCCCTATTATGATCTCCTTCTATAAGTCCTGGAAAGTTCGCTTACTTCAAGCTCTGGGTCAGGTATATCCTGCCCTTAAGAGCAGGGTCGGGGTTTGGAATTAAAGTCTACGAATCCGCTGGGGAGTTTCAGACAACAGCGAATCC